CGGTTTACCTTGACACAGGCTTACCTTGCTATTACATACGGTTTACCTTTACACAGGCTTACCTCGCTATTACATACGGTTTACCTTGACACAGGCTTACCTTGCTATTACATACGGTTTACCTTTACACAGGCTTACCTCGCTATTACATACGGTTTACCTTGACACAGGCTTACCTCGCTATTACATAAGGTTTACCTTGACACAGGCTTACCTTGCTATTACATACGGTTTACCTTGACACAGGCTTACCTTGCTATTACATACGGTTTACCTTGACACAGGCTTACCTCGCTATTACATAAGGTTTACCTTGACACAGGCTTACCTTGCTATTACATAAGGTTTACCTTGACACAGGCTTACCTCGCTATTACATAAGGTTTACCTTGACACAGGCTTACCTCGCTATTACATAAGGTTTACCTTGACACAGGCTTACCTCGCTATTACATAAGGTTTACCTTGACACAGGCTTACCTCGCTATTACATACGGTTTACCTTGACACAGGCTTACCTCGCTATTACATAAGGTTTACCTTGACACAGGCTTACCTCGCTATTACATAAGGTTTACCTTGACACAGGCTTACCTCGCTATTACATAAGGTTTACCTTGACACAGGCTTACCTTGCTATTACATAAGGTTTACCTTGACACAGGCTTACCTCGCTATTACATAAGGTTTACCTTGACACAGGCTTACCTTGCTATTACATAAGGTTTACCTTGACACAGGCTTACCTCGCTATTACATAAGGTTTACCTTGACACAGGCTTACCTCGCTATTACATACGGTTTACCTTGACACAGGCTTACCTCGCTATTACATACGGTTTACCTTGACACAGGCTTACCTCGCTATTACATACGGTTTACCTTGACACAGGCTTACCTCGCTATTACATACGGTTTACCTTGACACAGGCTTACCTTGCTATTACATAAGGTTTACCTTGACACAGGCTTACCTTGCTATTACATAAGGTTTACCTTGACACAGGCTTACCTTGCTATTACATAAGGTTTACCTTGACACAGGCTTACCTTGCTATTACATAAGGTTTACCTTGACACAGGCTTACCTCGCTATTACATAAGGTTTACCTTGACACAGGCTTACCTCGCTATTACATACGGTTTACCTTGACACAGGCTTACCTCGCTATTACATACGGTTTACCTTGACACAGGCTTACCTCGCTATTACATACGGTTTACCTTGACACAGGCTTACCTCGCTATTACATAAGGTTTACCTTGACACAGGCTTACCTTGCTATTACATAAGGTTTACCTTGACACAGGCTTACCTCGCTATTACATAAGGTTTACCTTGACACAGGCTTACCTCGCTATTACATACGGTTTACCTTGACACAGGCTTACCTCGCTATTACATAAGGTTTACCTTGACACAGGCTTACCTTGCTATTACATAAGGTTTACCTTGACACAGGCTTACCTTGCTATTACATAAGGTTTACCTTGACACAGGCTTACCTCGCTATTACATAAGGTTTACCTTGACACAGGCTTACCTCGCTATTACATACGGTTTACCTTGACACAGGCTTACCTCGCTATTACATACGGTTTACCTTGACACAGGCTTACCTCGCTATTACATACGGTTTACCTTGACACAGGCTTACCTCGCTATTACATACGGTTTACCTTGACACAGGCTTACCTTGCTATTACATAAGGTTTACCTTGACACAGGCTTACCTTGCTATTACATAAGGTTTACCTTGACACAGGCTTACCTTGCTATTACATAAGGTTTACCTTGACACAGGCTTACCTTGCTATTACATAAGGTTTACCTTGACACAGGCTTACCTCGCTATTACATAAGGTTTACCTTGACACAGGCTTACCTCGCTATTACATACGGTTTACCTTGACACAGGCTTACCTCGCTATTACATACGGTTTACCTTGACACAGGCTTACCTTGCTATTACATACGGTTTACCTTGACACAGGCTTACCTTGCTATTACATAAGGTTTACCTTGACACAGGCTTACCTTGCTATTACATACGGTTTACCTTGACACAGGCTTACCTTGCTATTACATACGGTTTACCTTGACACAGGCTTACCTTGCTATTACATACGGTTTACCTTGACACAGGCTTACCTTGCTATTACATACGGTTTACCTTTACACAGGCTTACCTTGCTATTACATACGGTTTACCTTGACACAGGCTTACCTTGCTATTACATACGGTTTACCTTTACACAGGCTTACCTTGCTATTACATACGGTTTACCTTGACACAGGCTTACCTTGCTATTACATACGGTTTACCTTTACACAGGCTTACCTTGCTATTACATACGGTTTACCTTGACACAGGCTTACCTTGCTATTACATACGGTTTACCTTGACACAGGCTTACCTTGCTATTACATACGGTTTACCTTTACACAGGCTTACCTCGCTATTACATAAGGTTTACCTTGACACAGGCTTACCTTGCTATTACATACGGTTTACCTTGACACAGGCTTACCTTGCTATTACATACGGTTTACCTTGACACAGGCTTACCTTGCTATTACATACGGTTTACCTTTACACAGGCTTACCTTGCTATTACATACGGTTTACCTTGACACAGGCTTACCTTGCTATTACATACGGTTTACCTTGACACAGGCTTACCTTGCTATTACATACGGTTTACCTTTACACAGGCTTACCTTGCTATTACATACGGTTTACCTTGACACAGGCTTACCTTGCTATTACATACGGTTTACCTTGACACAGGCTTACCTTGCTATTACATACGGTTTACCTTGACACAGGCTTACCTTGCTATTACATACGGTTTACCTTGACACAGGCTTACCTCGCTATTACATACGGTTTACCTTGACACAGGCTTACCTTGCTATTACATAAGGTTTACCTTGACACAGGCTTACCTTGCTATTACATACGGTTTACCTTGACACAGGCTTACCTTGCTATTACATACGGTTTACCTTGACACAGGCTTACCTTGCTATTACATACGGTTTACCTTTACACAGGCTTACCTCGCTATTACATAAGGTTTACCTTGACACAGGCTTACCTCGCTATTACATACGGTTTACCTTGACACAGGCTTACCTTGCTATTACATACGGTTTACCTTTACACAGGCTTACCTTGCTATTACATACGGTTTACCTTTACACAGGCTTACCTTGCTATTACATACGGTTTACCTTTACACAGGCTTACCTTGCTATTACATACGGTTTACCTTTACACAGGCTTACCTCGCTATTACATAAGGTTTACCTTGACACAGGCTTACCTCGCTATTACATACGGTTTACCTTGACACAGGCTTACCTTGCTATTACATACGGTTTACCTTTACACAGGCTTACCTCGCTATTACATACGGTTTACCTTGACACAGGCTTACCTTGCTATTACATACGGTTTACCTTTACACAGGCTTACCTCGCTATTACATACGGTTTACCTTGACACAGGCTTACCTCGCTATTACATAAGGTTTACCTTGACACAGGCTTACCTTGCTATTACATACGGTTTACCTTGACACAGGCTTACCTTGCTATTACATACGGTTTACCTTTACACAGGCTTACCTCGCTATTACATAAGGTTTACCTTGACACAGGCTTACCTCGCTATTACATAAGGTTTACCTTGACACAGGCTTACCTTGCTATTACATACGGTTTACCTTGACACAGGCTTACCTTGCTATTACATACGGTTTACCTTGACACAGGCTTACCTCGCTATTACATACGGTTTACCTTTACACAGGCTTACCTTGCTATTACATACGGTTTACCTTTACACAGGCTTACCTTGCTATTACATACGGTTTACCTTGACACAGGCTTACCTTGCTATTACATACGGTTTACCTTTACACAGGCTTACCTTGCTATTACATACGGTTTACCTTTACACAGGCTTACCTTGCTATTACATAAGGTTTACCTTGACACAGGCTTACCTCGCTATTACATAAGGTTTACCTTGACACAGGCTTACCTTGCTATTACATACGGTTTACCTTGACACAGGCTTACCTTGCTATTACATACGGTTTACCTTTACACAGGCTTACCTTGCTATTACATACGGTTTACCTTTACACAGGCTTACCTCGCTATTACATACGGTTTACCTTGACACAGGCTTACCTTGCTATTACATACGGTTTACCTTGACACAGGCTTACCTTGCTATTACATACGGTTTACCTTTACACAGGCTTACCTTGCTATTACGGTTTACCTTTACACAGGCTTACCTTGCTATTACATAAGGTTTACCTTGACACAGGCTTACCTTGCTATTACATACGGTTTACCTTTACACAGGCTTACCTCGCTATTACATACGGTTTACCTTGACACAGGCTTACCTTGCTATTACATACGGTTTACCTTGACACAGGCTTACCTCGCTATTACATACGGTTTACCTTTACACAGGCTTACCTTGCCATTACATACGGTTTACCTTGACACAGGCTTACCTTGCCATTACATACGGTTTACCTTTACATGTCTTAGCTTACCTCCTCACATTTCATTTCCTTACATGTAGAATTAATTTACATTGTGATGGTTTAAATCTTAAACGAATTACTTACTTAAGTCAATTCACAATTCTTTAATATTAATTTACAATAATTACTTGAATTTGGATTTAATTTAAATCGAATAGAGAGAAAAATTTGTCAACTGAAATAATAACAAAAAATAATGCAAGTATTCCTTGTATCATAAAACTCTAGGTTAATAATAGTCATTGTTTTCACCGCTAATAACGAAATTTCTTTTTTGTTGAATTTAACTTAAGAAACTCACATTTTACACGTATCACGTTTGTATCACGTTGATTTTTTAGCAAATTGTTGGCTTAATTTCAAAACATTTCGGTAGTCAAAAATCTGCAATACGGCAACACATTATGGCAATTTGCATGATAACAATGCGAAATTGTTCACCTAAAAGTGTCATTTCATATTTATGTGTTTACTCCGAACATCGAAATTCACGAATTCGAGAAGAAGTTTTCATTATTTTCTTCTACAAAAAAATTTTTTAAATCTTTTTTGATAAAATTTCGAATTTAAATTAGCCAGAGCTTCTTTTCGATTTTTAAAAGTTTCATAAATTGTTTAAATTTTACAAAGTAACAATTATTGTTTGAATTTTGAGACGAATTTTCTTACACGCACCGTCCAATTTTTGCTTTTTTTTTCCCAAATTAATTGTTCATTCTTTTATTTCCACGTTTCTTTCCCAAAAAAGTAAAAATTAGACGTTGCGTGTAAAACGTTCTAATATACCTTTCAATGAAGCATTTGCTTATTTACTTTTCAGATTTTAAATATTATGACGGCTGCATTACTTACCTTCGATTCTCGCTCAATCAATTTAAAAGCAATTGCCGACGTGGTGGTACCATTACTCGCTGATCCGAAACGACGTGTTCGGTACGATACATTAGCACCTGCGTTTGTTAAATTGTTAAATTTTAGCAACTTGATTAATTTAAATTTCTCTCTCTCTCTCTCTCTCTAATTAATTTAAATTTGTCGCACAGATGGACTTTATTGCACGAAATATTTTCCTGAAAAGATCGTTTCAAGTATTTAAATTTCAATATGATTTCCTCAAAACAAAAACGAAAAAGAAAGATTAAATATTAGAATTATATTTTAGGTTGATTGCTTACTTAAATTAATTTAGCGAAGATTTTTTGAAAATTGTCATTGAAATAGTCACCTTTCAAGTATTTTTACTCATTCATTAATTCATCTAAATATATTTTCAAGTATGAGTAATTATTCTTTCATTCTTTCTAATTTCTTTCCTTAGGTTGGCTGCATTTGAATTATTTGCTGTTTTTGCGCATTTGTCGAGTAATTCGACCAAACGTCTGCTAAAATTAGTGTCAAATTTGGAAGAAAAGCATCATGCTTATGGTCTTTTAAGTGCTGTTAAGGTTAATTTTTTGTTTCAATAATTTAAAAAAACAAATTATTTCTTGCAGTAAGTAAAAATTCTTTTTCCAAGTGCAATTCTAGATGGAAAATGTTTATGACTGAAAAGCTATCTTAAAAAAAGTTATAAAAGCAATTATTAAATAAGAATTCAACTTCAATTTCTTATTTAAATTTCCTAATTTTAAATAACAAAATTGTCATGAAAAATTTGTTCACTTATATTGCTTCGAGACTTTTAAATTCAATTTTTACAATATCATATGTTTATTTTTGAAATAATTTTGGCTCATTTATGAATGTTTTAATTTTATTCAAATTTTCAAAGTAAAAAAAAAAAAGTATTGTAAAGGAGAGAATATCACGTAATACACTGCCAAAGATACGATCCGATGGACTGATCGAATATGCAACACCGCTTGATGCTTCTGACATTTCCGCCTGCAATCGTGAAGGGTGGCGCTGGTTGAAAACAAATAATTTAGATTATGAATGGATTATGGGTGGTGGCAATGGTTCGAGCAGTGTACTTTCTAGGTTTTATTCTGTTTTTATTTTATTTCATTTCGCTGTCTGAAATTAAATATGAATAATTCTCAACCATAAAACAAAGTGTCATTAGGAAGAAAATTTCATCTTTCTTAGTTTTCAATTCGGAAAAATGCATTGACAGAAGCATTCAGCCAATCATTGATGATAAAATCTCATCAAAACAAAATTTTAGTGAGTTGTTAGAAGAATCGAAGAATGAAGATTTATTTAGAAACGATACGGCAAGTTTCTTTTTTTTTTAAAAAAAAAAATATCTCAACGTAACAAACGTAACACATTTTTTTTAAGGGTTATTTTTTTTAAATTTCAAAAAGTTTATTCACTAATTTAAAATCCTTTTTAAATTCCAAAAAAATTTTTTTTTGTTAATTTTAACTCAAATATTTTCATATTTTTAGTCACACTAAAATCATATTATTATTAAAGAGGCAAAAGTTAAATTTAGTTGCATACAACGATCGTAAAAATAAAAAAAGTGCGAAATCACTTCGAAAATTATTTGGATTTGATTAATTTATTCATATTTTTGGAATGTTTTGTTAATTTCAAGTATGTAAAACTGTTTATTTGATTAATTTTTAAGAAAGCATCAATGATTGGAAGGCCATACTCTGATGACTGTGATCGTTACAAACTTAATGGTTAGTAATAGTTCTGTTAACTTTTTTCTGTCACATCATTTGTTTACTTTGTTGACAATAATACTTTTCTTTTTTCAAATTTAAATTGAAGAAATAATTATTTGTGTTTAACTTGTATAACAGCACAAAATATAGAAAAGCAAAACTAATAAATGTATTTTTCTGTTTCCTATAACTTTTAACAAAAGCAAAAGTTTTGTTTTTTGATCTCAAATGAAATGGAATGTTTGAAGTTGATCACTTTCATGGGTACAATTACTATTAATGAGTAGGAGTATGTGTCTGCAAGTCAAACTTATTTATTTTTAATGTTAAAACAAAACAAAAAAAAAGAGAAAAAATACCGATAAATTTCATCGAAATAGAAAATTCAAAAAATAGATTCTAAATGCTTCTTTCAAACTAAAAGATTAAAGTCAGAAAGTTGAAACAATTTTCTCTGTGTTCGGATAGATTGGAATTTAAGTTTAACATATATTTCAAGACTATTTTATTGGAGAAAAGAAATTAGCGCTATTAATTTGCATTAAATTAATTTAGCATTTTCTTTGCTTTTTTTTGGAGACATTCCTTTACAGCTATTACCCTCAACTTAATTAATTAAATTAACTTTGTTAATATATGAATTCATTCAAATTTCACTACTAAAATTGTTGTCAGTCCTTTATATTTCTCAGTTGCTCTAAACAATAAAATTGCTTAAATCTTTTTATGTGAAATTGAAAAATATAACAGTATAGCTTTTTCCAGAAGTATAAATTCAACGCATCAAATTTAAAGCTGATAAAATGATTCAGATAAGGTGATTCAAACTGATAAGATTAATAATCTTATTTTCAAAATTATCACTCTCGATTATTCAAAATCTACTTCATAACCTTTGAAAACCATATATTTAGGAAATGGTATGCATGAAAAATATTTGGACGATCATCCGGTAAATAGCTTTATAATTTTTCAAAAAAAAAAAAAAGAAAATTATGATTTGAAACTAGTCAAATTAATGATTAGAATAGTTTTTTTCTTTGTTTTTATTTTGAAAACTTACTTTTTATGCTATCTATGGTTTTGTTGAAATTATTTATTACAAATCAAATTAAAATTATTATTTATGCTAATTGTTGTCCATAATTGTTGATGCATGCTAATTTTGCAATCCAAATAGTAATATATTTTCAATTTTTAGCATAATTTAACGTAATGTCGGCAATACCGGTCGATTCTGCAAAGAATTCAATTTTTTTTTTTTTTTTCTTCAAATTGATATGAAATATTTACAGCCTTTACATTCAGTGGAACCAATTCGGTTGCAAAAATTGCACTTAAATGGCGATTTACATCAAATAGCGCAAAATGATAGTAGTACAGGCGGTAATGTTGCCAAGTGCGCCACCGAAAGGAGCGCCACTGGAAAAGAACCCAGTGAGGGTGAGGAGAATTTGATTGGAAATGGGTTTGTTTTAAACATAATCATTTCATAAATGAGAAATTTCACAGAAAAATAATATCAAGGGTTTTTTTTTCCGGAATAAGCAAATTGTTCCGCTTAGGAACAAATCAAGTTGTATTGTAAATGGAAGCAGTAGGGAGAGAGAGAGAAAGAGAAAGAGGAGGAGAGAGAGACGGAATATAATGGTTTCAGTCCGGAAAGGAACGCCACTTACTTCCGCTTCCCTACCGCAACTAAGGAAGCACATTCGATTAATATTAGTCTTATTAATATGATTTTAATCATTTCAAAATTTAATTCAAATTAGTAGAATGAAGTAAGATAGAATGAAAACAACGTTATTCAGATTTGATAAAATGAAACAGTACAATTCGGATGGAAATTTCTTGCCAAATAATATTTCACGGAGTAGAAAAATTACAAATCCAGGCGATCTACCCATTAAGTCATCAAAGTGTGAAACTTATTGCAACAGTAGGTTTTATTCTAAAGTTCACTCTCGACAAGCAAATATTTACATTTAATTTAATATTTACCTGTCAAAAATTAAATCTTATAGATGTAGCAAAAGCTTAGAAAATTTAGGGATGTAAGTGATCATTGATTGATAAATGATCAATGAATGATTAGTTTATTCTGATTATTTCACAGATTATGCACCATCAGAACCAGCAATACCTACTCGTTCCTCCTTCTTATCATTGGTACGGAAAAGTTTTAGCCATCAAAATTTAGCTTGTACGTCAAAAACTACTGGTATCTCTCAGGTAATTTCAAGCATTTTTTACTGTTCATGAAGTTCCAATAAAATCTCAGTTTTTAAGAATTAATTTAATATTTAATTCCTAATAAAATTCAATGGAAAAATCTTAATAAATGAGATAAATTGAATTATTTTCCCATCCCACGTCCATATAGCATAGTGCTTGAATACAAAAATAATAGTTCTATTTCAAAAGACTTAAGCTATGCAAGGAAATGAATTCAATTGAAAGTCTTTTCCCGTTGTTTACTTGCATTCCCATTGTTTACTTTTACTCACGTACTTTACTTCTCGTATTCACGCGCTAACTTATCGTCGCGCTAGTTACGCCTTAGTTTTCCGTTCCATAGTATTTCCAATGTTCTTCAACAATATTCTGACAACAATTGCTCATCACCATCCTAATTGCAGCGTATTCAAGCATCTCCTAAAGTAATCAGAAAGAATAATTTAAAATCTGCGTCATCAATGAGAAGCATTACGTCAAATTCGTCATCCGTAATAAGCACATCGAAACGTGAAAAATGTGTCCAAAATATTGAAATGTTGTTGAAAAATCCGGAATTCTCGCTCAATGATGCATTACAGAAATTAGATGCTGAAGAATGGTAAATTTTAGTTTTTTCTTTTTTCTTAACATTCTATTTGTAATAAATTTTTGGTTTCTTTTACGCTCAATTCTTCGATTGTATGAAAATTTTGTCGAGAATTTTTTAAATTCTGTACTCAGAAAAATAAATGATTTGATTAATTTAATATTTTAAGGAATGGAAAACTTTATGCCATCGAGGTGATCGATACTTTAGCTAAAATATCGCCAGGTGTGCTAGCTGCAAATATACATCCTATTGTTATGAAATTATTAAATGAATGTAAAAACTTACGTTCAACAGTTTCGCGAGCAGCAATTTCTTCCTTTGGAGCTTTATTTGAAAATCTTAAAACAGTGATGGATTCGGATGTTGAAAAAGTATTCTATTGTTCCTTGAACTAATATTTAATTTGAAATGAATTTCACCGTGGCAAAATTTATTGTTGAATATCTTTCATTATTTTCATTAATGATAATATGAATTGGTTTAATTTTATTTTTTATTAGAAAATAATTAATTAAATATTATTAGGTTATTTTCTATGGTAATAAAGATGCCAATATATTTCAATAAATTTCTTTAGAGAATTAAGAAAGTTTGTCAAACTTCACTTTCTGTTGATGCAGTTTAGAAGAATAAACAAGAAGCAATATGTTAATTTTTTGTAGTATGATAATAAAGATATGATAAGCTTTCTTTGAACAAGTATTTAGATGGTGTTGTTTTTCTTTTAATAAATATTCCAATATTATTAATTCAGGTATGTCTGGTATTGATGCAAAAAGCCGGTGATGTAAGTAATGCATTCATTCGTGATGATGCGACAATTGCGCTGGAAAAAATGATCAAATATGTTTCACCTGGGCGTTCTCTCTATGCATTAGTTAGTTCTGGAGCTAAGTAAGCTTTTAGTATTAGCTGATATGGGAGAAAGAAATAATTATTCGTAATCTGTCAAATCATAAATATATATGTTAGTGATTAAAATTAAGAAAAAGTAGAAAAGCACTGATTGTTTCGTTTGAACTAATGGGTATGTCACTGCTGTAATGGTTTAGTTAAATAAAAGATTTAGTTAAATTCTTTTTTCTATTAAATAATAATTATTAAGTTATTCTTTATGCTACCAATCATATCATTATTATGAGTGATAAAGTGATAAAGATAACATAATTATAGCAATAATTGATTCAAATCTCATTCATATATGAAATACATAAGTAATGTAATGATGCAGCTAAGCTAATACAAAAATACTAAATCAGTTAAAATCATTTTGGGCTAATTAAATTATTTGAGTGTGAAAGATTTCACATACAATGTAAATTCACTTTGCTTTTCTCATCTTTTTTATTTGTTAGTATTGTTTCTATCACTAATTGCTTATCTCAACGTACAAAATTGCTAGTATTCATCAAAAAATTCTTTAATTTTAATTAGAAATTAATGAAAAAACAATTTTATTTACAATTTTATCAAACAATGCCATTAATATATAATTCAATGTTTTAATACTTTCTCAAATAATTTCTAACTTTTTCTTTCTTTTTAGAAGCAAAAGTAATACAATTCGAGCGTGCTGTGCAAGCCTATTAGTGAAATTAGTGGAACGTTTAGGTCCTATAAATGCCATCGGTAGCGCAGAATTTCCACGTTTTGTCACATCTTTACTACTATTTGCAAGAGATGCAAATGTAACGGTGCGACAGACTGGAAAATATGGAATACGACTGCTTAGCCAGGTAAAAGGTTTTCAATTTAAAATCTTCTCAAAGAGTTTACAAATATACGATGGATCGAATAGTGACATAATCTAATTAAATCAAGCTCAATTTTCATACAATAAATTATAATAAAAAATAATATCAATAATAAAAATAAGAAATAGTGACATAATTTAATAATTTTGTCTAATTCAACTAAACCTAAATGTCGTTTTTATAGAACAATGATTTATTTGATGATGCAGTACGTAAAAGTCTGAATGAAAGTGAACGACAGAATTTGAATGAAGTATTAGATGCTATAAATAGAAGAGTAAGTATAATTTTCTGTTTCACACTGATACAGTCCGATTTTATCACAGCTCTGATAAAAATTATCAACAAATGTTTGTCAATTAAAAACTTTCTTTAAAAAAATTAACTTGCTTTATTGTTTTAAGTGTTAATTAGTTAGTCTTCACTTTACTCTTAAATTCCACAGCTTAATTTCTCTTTCATTTCACAGGGATTGGGAGAAACTAATCTTGCTTCATCATCATTATCACTAGGATCAATTAGCAGAAGTGGTAGTATGAGGCGCTCTGGTAGTAATGGACGAGATGCGCCGATATCACAAAGCATACAACAGGATTTGCTGCAAGTGCGAAACAATCTAATTGCAAGCGAGTAAGTTCTTTTTTTTTTAAACAACCATAAATATGGTTTGAATATATTAATATATCTTAAAAAAGTATTAAATATATCTTAAAAAAGTATTGGTTGTGATTAGAGGAATTGTGAAAGCAAAATAATAACGTAACGTGAAAGTAACGTGGCAGAAAAGTGAATTGAAAAAAGAAAAAAAAAAGAACAAAAAGACGTGAAGATTGGCGGAAATGCGAGACTTGATGTGAGAATAACGTAAATATTATTTATACTTTTGAAATTGTCACAAATCTTATTGAATTCTCGTCCACATGCTGTTACTTAAATTTGTTAAACTGATTTGAATAAATTTGTCACATATATTTATTGGGCTTTTAAAGATGGGAGCGACGAATGAAAGGTTTAAAAGAATTCTCAGAAATTGTAATGAGAAACGATCGAGCAGCAATATCAGATACAAAAGTTCTGGGAGCATTTGTTGGCCGTACATCAGATATTAACTTTAAAGTATCAGTAGAAGCTATGGAAACGCTTGTCACCATTCTCCCGACACTTTCGCCGTAAGTGTCCCTCTAAAATACATTCTTATTACTGTTCACGTCGAGAATGTGCCTAGTTGCTGGCCTTGGCAAATAATACAAGTAGCAGTCTTTTAGCATCCAATTATTTCTTTTAATTAATAATTTCATTTTTACTTATGTTTTCATAATTTCAATTTTTTTAAAAGATAAAAAAATAGGATACAAGGTGAAAATATATTTTTCAGCTATTTTTCAAGTGAAGCATCACTGAAAGCAGTACTTTATCAGCTAATCAACTCACTAATGTCACATTTGGCCAGTCGCAGCGAAGGTCACCGACAACACGCAAAATTATGCTTTGAAGAAATCACAAAATATATTGGTGGCTGTTTTTTGAAACTTTTTAAATGACTGATTTTTATTGCAATTTCAATTTTGAATAATGTCAAATTAAAACCATTGGATGACAGTAGATTTACTATCTAAAAATGCAAGTCTGTCATCCAGGAATCTTCCAATGGAAGATAACATACCAATATTTTTATTCATTCCTCTCATTCACATTCCTTTCACACTAATAGTTTGTATATTTCAAGACTCCATTATTTATCCATGTCACTAATTTCAGAAATTTTTAACATTTAAACTTTTAATATTTAAATTTCAACTCATATTTTTCATATTTTTTTTTTCAGAGAATATGGCTCTTTTGGCACCATTTGCAAGTGCAACAAAACAAGCTAACGTAAAGCAAAAACCATTTATGCTGCAAACTCTTAGCAGTAAGTTATTTTGTTTCTAAGTAAATTTAATTACATTAAAATTATTTCAAAAAGTATAACATACACTCAGTTGGATGCAAAGTGTTACTTCTTTTCGTCTCTTTTCCTCAATCCTATTCTATTCACATTGTTTTTGGTTATATCAAAAAACTGTTTGAAATATACGTTGTACAGTGTACCATTTCATTAGTTTTCGTAATTTTTAATTTAAATTAAAATTTAAATTTTTATAAATTCTCGGCTATACATCTGAATTTATAGAATTGATAGAATCCGTGTATTCGATTAAGCCACGTCAAGCGGAAGCAGTAGGTCTTCCGGTTCTCTGGGAATTACTACGGACTCCTCCTCGGAGCTGTAGTGATCCGGAAGTTCGAGAAGCCATACGTCACTATGCTATAACAATGGCACGCTGCATTGGTATCAAAACACTTCTGCAATTGTCAACATTTCGCATTAATCCAAACCAAAAGAAAACACTGCAAGAATTAATTTCATAACTCAATCAATCAATAATAGTTACAATTTCAATATGATTGTTAGTTACAATGCTCACAAATGAGCACATTTCTGTCATTTACTTCATTTATAAATCCGGAATTTTCCGGTTTTGGAATAAACGCTGGTATTTAGATTCATTGTTGTGTAATCGTTTTTTTCAGTCTGAAAATTGCTGATTGAAATTTAAAGCTGTTCCAAAACGAATTTGATAAATATGTCTGTTTTATCTCAAATAATTATGGTAGAAAGTAAGTTTAATCAAAACACAAAATATTTTTTGTGAAAATTTTGTAAATTTAAATGACAAACAAGTATGTGAAAGGTTAGATACAACCTGCTTGCTGCTTATCATTAAAATTGATTTGTACCTCAAATAAATGAGTTATATAATTGCTTTATGGAACAGTCATTAAATCTTCATTCCTTTCCTCTCCCATTTAGTAGTGATAGGTGATAAGTGCTGATAAAGACTTGAAATGGAGCAAAAGTTTGTTTAATTTTGCATTACAATCGAACAATATTCGAGCATTCATCGTATGTCTACTGTGGAGAACTTTTGGGACTTTCTTGGAAGTTTTCTCGACTCTCGATCGATCTGAACTGAACTGATAAGATGAAATGAACTTTTCTCCAAGGAGTCATACTGATAATTTCGTAGAGAGTTATCTACAAATGTGAGATGAAAGAGAATGAACAAACCGATGCGAAAGTTGGACGAACAGTGAACATTGCCTTGCGACACGACGTGTAATTACGGTGGGTAAAGAGCTCAGGTAAACAAAGAGTAGATGAGGTCATAGGCCAACAACAAGGACTAACACTGGCCAATTCAGGGAACAAGCAAAAGACAGAAGGATAAAAAGTAGCAATTAAATTGATGAGTTCACTTCGGAACAGAGTCAGTTACGAATCAGTCCGTTACTGAATGACTGTAAGTACTACGTGACGTTACGTTGCATTACGTATTTGTTAAATTATTAATCGAGATCATCATGAAAATTTCCACCGAAGCTCCACTTTTTTCACTTTGGACGCATCTTCAGTAGAGCATGAAGAAATGAGGTAAATGAGTAATGAGGAAATTACCTTAGCAATCCTTCATAAAATGTTAATTACAGAATTTAATCATTTCAATTCAACTATTTAATTTCTCATGTTAATCTTACCATCAATTTTCTAAAAAACTAACCATCCGTTTCACTCAATATTTTCCTTTATTTACTATTCAAGCAAATATTAATAAAAATGTGCGAGGAATCAGTGATTCTCTTATTATTAATTACGATTTCATTGTTTCAATTTGTTTAATTAATTCTCCATTCCACCACTTTCATTATCACTTTTTGTGTTAAATTGAACTTCAAAATAAAGTCTAACTAATTGGTCTGTCTATTTGGGGAAATTCCCAAGTGTTGGGACTGAGATTTTCATTGCGGCTGTTTTCATATTCCGGCACAGCTGGAGTGACTGACATCTTCCGGTTCTGTGTCTTCTACACGGTGCATTTCTTCGTTCTCAGTTGAATATGCCTCCAAAGTCAAAGTAAGTGGAGTTTTGATAAAATTTTCTAATAAAAATCGTAGCTAATGTCTTAGCGACTACGTAACGTAACGTCACGCAATATTTGCATTCGAAGATTGATTTATGACCTGTCTCTTTTTCAAAGTATCGTCATGAAATAATTCTATTTTAATTCCAGTTTTCATTACTTTTTGAATAATGAACTGATTATCATACTTTGGCAACCATTTTGAAACCGTTGTTACTTTTAGTAAAGTTATTTACTTTTTGTTTTTTGCTTGTAAAAGTTCACACATTCCTTGGTTTCATTTTAAATTTCCAGGTATGTGATAGTGCAGCTGGCTAGTGTTATATCCGGTTCAACACGTATATGGATACGTGAGCGAGCAGCGGATAAATTCCGTGGAATATTTTATGATCCTGCAAGTAACTAATTTATGTAGATATTTATTGTGTTGTAAATTAAGAAAGCGTTCTTTTGAACACTCCTATTTACCCATTTTCAGTTGAGTGCATTTTTAAAACTTTACCCTTATGGAATAGTTAGTTAAGTAAGGGGACCAAAATTATAGCCATTTAACACATGTATTGAAAAAAAAATCTGGAAGGTACTGCTGGCGGATGAAGGAACTCAAATGGAAAAAGTTCAGTTCGAGAGGAGTAATGGTAATTAAAGAAAAAAAAAATCTTTCGAAGCAATAAAGAGCATTTTCTACTAATTAATTTTCCACAGTGCTATTTATTGTTTCAAATGCGAGCCTCAGTCTAATTCCATCTCTCTGTATATTTTCTATATCTCTGGTACTTTTTAATACGTCTTCATTTTGATTGATAGTAAAGTATTAGCCGAAAGTTTTTTGCTAAATAATTGTCAAGTTAGTTGATTAGTTTTATTGTGTGGAAGCATTTTTCGAAACTTATTTTGTCGTGTTTTCATTAGTTAGTTCACTCTATTTATTTATTTTTAAATTTTAGTATATTTATTTTTAGTCGGACGCGAAGTACTGTTTGAAGAAAAACAGAAAGTGAAAGGAAAAACAACACTGCCAGAGTGTGTAAAGCGACGTTTTAATCTGACATGAAATTTGTTTAAATGTAATGCATATATATATAATACGTCTTTTTTAGTGCTTTATACATAAGTTTTGAAAGAACGAGTTAGAAATTTTATTTCCTAACAGTTGAAAAACAAGCGACCTAATTAGTTCTAATTCATCAAGTTAAAGATCAACGAGCACTTATCATTCTGAATTCTTCAATTGCTAGATATTTTATTAAGTTCACTATAAAACGTGGAGAAATTGAATTGTCTGAACATTTTGATTTAAATTAAGTTATTTTTGCGCCTTTTCCTTTAGGCTATTCAGACTAACTTTACTGTTATTATCTTCAAGTAATATTATCCATCTGCTGTTCTCGAAGAAATGCTCAGATTATAAACTTGTATTATTTCTCGCAGTTTCAAATTTATGTTGCTCGATTTTTTCGTTTTTTTTGTAGTATCGTTAATTAAACAGTATGTTGTAATATTTGCTTATTTGCTATATATTTTCGTTATTGCACATTATATTTGCTTATTACTATGTAATTACATTGATTGTACATAAAAGATTCCGTTGCATTTATTTTCGTATCCTGCAGTCGGTTTTTTCGTCTTTATATTTTAATTATTAGTTCATGTGTTACCTCATGACTGGAAAGTGAGCTATTCGACAGTTATTTTTCCCTTTTTTTATTATCTTTTAGAATTTGAGTTCAGTTTTTGGGATGATACGGTATGATACTTTCATGAACCATACGAAGATATGTGATGAAAATAATGTGGTAATGCTTAAAATAGCTTTTTTCTTCAAGGATGGAGGATCAAATCCGAAATGAATTAGTGGATTACAACCGGTTTAGTATAACGCTTGGAGTTTGGGTTGCTATTGTAGTGGTGTTTATCTCGGTACTTGCGTACATCTTGAAGAGGAGGTTATCGAGTGGTAAAACAGTTCTTATCGTAGGATTATGCGATTCTGGAAAAACTATGCTGTTTTCGAAGTTAATTAATCCAGGTAAGAGTTATTCTTATTCCGTCAGTATTGGAAGACTACTTGGAATACTGCGTTCAATAAGGCTCTTAGTTGTGGCCAAACATTCTTGATTCTCCTTGTTACCTTTTCATTTATGCGATGGAGAGAATTCTTGTGAAATGCGATTGCACGAAAAGTTCATGTTCCATCAGTCAGTTCTGATAAAATCTCCCAAAAAAAAATCACACAAAAATCGTCATTGCATCTTTAGTTATACAGCAGCTTCGAGCTGTTATCAAGTTCTCACAACGAAAGCAACTGCATATTTTTTATTCGTAAGTTTGAAGCATCTATAAAAGGACGAATACTTGTTCATGAAAGCGATGTCTTTATGTATTTCAGAATATAGTCCAGAAACTTATACATCCTTAAAAGAAAATCGTTGCGAAGACGTTTCAGTTACAAGCGATACGTTGGTTACTTTGGTGGATTTTCCTGGATCTGAAAAGCTTCGAAAGAAGCTTTTTGGAAATTACTTGCAGAAAGTAAGTTTTGAATGGAGTAGGGATGTTGTAATCGTAATTCAAGGTACTCCTTGTTTCAACCATGCTTATTTGCTATAACTTTTGCTACTGCTATGGGGTTTATCGGTATACCGAGACATATGAAGGTATGTTTTTTGGTAATGTACAACTAATTTTGTTCAGTTCTGGTATGCCAATTTTTCAGTGAAATAAAAATTTCAAAACACTAGGCCATCTGTATAAGTCAGAGGTTTTCAAAAAACTTGTTGGATTTCTAAATTTAAAATTTGGTTGTATCACAAATTTGTTTGCTAAATGCTATTATTTTAGAATCGAAATAGCTTAAAAGGCATTGTCTTTGTTATCGATAGTTCAACGTTTAGCAGGAAATCACGCGATGTTGCAGCGTTCTTTTATGATGTTCTGTACGAGTCGGAGAAAAAAGTTCCGATACTTGTGGCATGTAATAAGCAAAATTGTCCTTTGGCCAAAAGTTCACAGGTTTGGTTTATGTCATTTTTGGAATTTTGATGTTTCCAGTAAATTATTAGGTCTCACTTTGTTTTTCACTGCTATTATGACTTTCTCATTTATCTTTTTTTATAGCATCTAACTTCTTTTAAGAATTACTGGCGTATTTCTTCGAATAATTTTTAAATGCACCGCTAACAGTTTCTGAAAAAAAAATCATGATATCAATTATTAAAGGCCGTGCGAACAGCCCTTGAACGAGAATTTGGCTACATCAATGGTACACGTGAAGCAGCTTTAGATTCCACTGATGGTGTAGCAAGAAAGAGAACTCTAACTAATACAGGTATGTTTTTGCTTTTACTGCACTGAAGTGTAATGCTTAATAACAATTGAAAATCGGATTTCATTTCCATAAAAACTTTTACTTTTCAGGCAAATGTTTCAGTTGGGATGATTTGCCATTGTTACGCTTAGATTTCATTGAATGTTTTGTAAAAAAAGAGAACGGGGATGTTAGTGATAAACAGTGTGATATTGGAGCAATACAAGCGTGGATTGCTGCTTTGTGATTTCCACTTAACCTAACTTTTGAATGTCAAACTGATTATCGGAATTTCATGTTAATTTATTAATTTTATATTGTTATTACGAATGAATAAAATTTCGAATATATCGTAATATTTAAATTCCTTACGCATTTTCATGTTCCGTTAAACACGGTCATTTACTAAAATTATGGGTTAACGTGTTATGCAATTCATTCCATTAAAATGAAATTTTGATTCAAGTTGTTTTGAGTCTACTTCTTCATTTTAATTTGTTAGTTGATGGGTTTTCACGAATTTCGATTTAAGAGTTGGTTCCATGCTTACTGTTGTAGCTTATAAGAAAAGTATTGAAAAATAATATGTCATTTGTGAGAGTTCGTTTATTTTCTTGCTTCCAAGACATATCTAGGAAATAAATTGGTATTTTCAGGTGTTTTTGCAACATCCGGTCCTTGAAATATTCCGATCCGATTAGGAATAACCTGTTGAACTGGGTGACAGAATTTGAAAGTTTTGATGTATGTTACTGCATTTGGGAATTCTTTCTCAGATATAAGAGAATATTGTTCTGTTTAACTTTTTATTGGCAGTTTAATATTTTTAATGCAGGTGAGCATTTGGTTTCATAAGTAACAGCATTTGGTTCCATAAATAATTTTTTTTTATTCATATTATTTAATCTTTAGTTACCAAGATTTTCAAAAAATACATTCTCCTTCCTCACAGGTTTTAAATTATAATTTAGAGATAGAGTTAGCTTTATAGCTTCAACGTAATTCTTCGAAATAATGGTTACAGATGCTTCCATTAGCAGCTTATAGCATCCAGCGATGCACGGTATGCACGGTACCAGGTGCTTGTTTATATATTCCGAAAGCACTGGCATCCGGACGATGGTGGCCTCAACCACTGTTAGTTTCAAAAATTTTCGCAATTGTTTTTATATTTTTGTATATTCCTGAAGTTTCATTGTTGTTGAAGTTTTGTTCGATTAAAATTTAATATTTTCTTCCTGATTTCACAAAGTATATAGCATGTGGGAACTATTCTATTGATTTAGGTTAGTCTTCAAAAGAGATAAAATTTAGATAGCCAAGTAGAATTAGTTATCATGCATTGTCGGAGATCCAGTCTGACAAGTTTTATGACTATTTAATACTTTTGCCGTGGCAAAAAATCATTAGTATGAAATAGTGTAGATAATAGGATCTTAAAAATGTAGATCTTAAGATAAAGATAGACAATAGTGGTGTAGAAGTTGTTGAAATAGAAACGAAATATTTTTGCGTTGTTTCAAGCTGTCAGTTCTACTATAGAAGTCCTTTGGAATAGTTTCTTGAAAAATAAAGATGCAAGTAAATTTAAAGAATGCTTCAACGTTCCTTTGTAAATAAAAGAAACGATGACTATTGATTTTTCTTGCTCATATAATTTTGTTCGGCGTAACATGTTTTGGTTCCTTCCATTGTTTTATATCCTTTGAGAAATCCTCTTTATTTTCTTTTATTCTCGAAAGTTCTGTGCGTCTTCAGTTTATTTATAAAAACTATATGTTACCTCGTCAGTTACATCTTTCGAAATGATATGTTTTGGATTTTTACAGAATTGCTCTTTTCGGGATGGAGTGCATAATGGTAAGTTTTGAAAAACATTTCAGGCGAGATATATATTACTGCCGCAGTAGTATGTTCTCTTGTTTTACCGATGTAAGGAAGCTGGAGAATTCTAATTCTTCTAAAGAAATGGAACAGATAACAGCCGCTAATGGTGCAACCATCTTTACTTCTACACAAAGCGAAGCAACACTTCCGGATATTATTGGCTCCAAATCATCTTTCCCTGAATTATCATTCGAAACAGCAGCACCTGTCTATGCTAAGCCACGTGGAACTGGCAAAAATATTTATAAGACAGAAATTGGTGAAGATGGACAGCTTGTAGCGAACTACGTTTTATTCGAAGATTCGATGAAGAAAGCAAAAGTAGTATGGCAGACATATGCAGGAATGACAACTGAGGAACGTGACATTTACATGGCCCATTTAAAGGCTATCCGAGAACGACGACTGTCCTACAATGATCCAAAAAAAGGTTTTTTGGTAATGACTGTATCGCAGCATTTGTTAAGAGGGAAATGTTGTGGTAGTGGTTGTCGTCATTGTCCTTACCAACATGAAAATGCTGCGTTACAAATTAAGAAATCAAAAGTATGGAATGGTGCATTCTACATGTAAATTCTACATTTTAATGTATGATTGGGATGATTACAATAAGTGTGTGTTTAGTGTTTGGAAATAAATATTGCTTAAAATTGTCATACTGATTTATATCGAAGTCTGGAAGTTGTTAGAGATTATGAGAGAGAAAAAGTCATTTTTTGTGAAATAGAATTTAAAAAAATATGAAAAGAGAGGAAGTGGTCGTACTAGAAAAGCAAAAGTTCTTTTTGTTCCGTTTATCAGTTCGACCGCGATATTTCAGGTTGTTTTGCATATAAAATGAGTCTAGTGTACGATTGGGATGATTACAATAAATCGAGATTTTAATATTTTTAAAAAATTAATTCCTTAGCTGTTAGAACTGTCGAGAAGTCCATAAAATGTCTCGTTTTTCTTTCATTTTCAAGATATACATGTTTATGAACGTTGAAGTACTTCAATTTTTTTTCAATTTTTCATTTGTTTCAAGACAGTTGGCATTCCTTTTATGCTGTCACACTGGTCGTTTTTTTTTTTTTTTTTTTTTTAAATTCAAAATTGTTTATAACGTTTCATAGGTATCCGCATCCAAGTGGTTGAATTTTCAGGTGGTTATTTGTCTCCTATACGTAATCTCACTTTGTATTGAATTATCTCTCTGTAGACTTCTGATTTAATATTATCTGAGAATAAGATGAAAAATATATTAGCGAATATTGCCAGCCGATTTATGACCAGAAATATTGCCTACTGATTTTGTATGCCATTACATATTCGTTGTTACTGTTTTTTCCATTTCGCGTTATAGAACAATTCTAATTAGATAATAGTTATTGTGAAATGCTTTGTGTGTTGAAATAAAAGACAAATCCGAAAATTCTGTGATTGGAGCGTGTAGTATATATTTTCAGAAATGAAAAAGCTAATTTTTTAGGAGGATTAAAGGGGACGAGGAAAGATTAAATTTTTCGGTAGAAAGTTAATCGGAAATAAGTAATCCACTTTGGTCCAGCATTAAACTATAGACAACTTACTTGAACTTGAACTTAATACTAACTTAATTAATTACAAATGATGAGAGCATAGCGATGAAAACTGTAACATGCACAATTGTTGGTCTTGTTTCAGACACGAACTGAGTCGACACCGAACTCGACCGCCCAGTACGGGCATTGAACGACGTACACGACTACTGGTTGTCGACAATTCAGCACTTGGTAAAGAGGCCAATACATCTGGTAAATTAGCCTACTGCATCGATGTTTACAAACCAGGTGGACGAAAGAAGCATATGCCCCATGCCACACTTGGTGACAAGGTAATGCTTACCTTTATTATGCATCTATTTTATATATGAGGGGTAGTCATATCTTAGCTCGGTAGCTAGTGAGTAAGTTATCAATTAGTTTCATAAACTGAATCCGAGACATGATGACGGGTCATATTAAGATTTACCATAAGTGAATATAATTTCCAGTCCTTGTTTATTATTTGATTTTACTAACTTATACTTAGATCTTGGTTGCAATACGAGGAGAGATGAAACAGGCGTTTGTGGTGGGAGCTAAAATAGATGTAAACTATCGAAAACATGGAATACCTTCAACGGATACCAACAACATCGTACTTCTTGTAAGATAAAATTTTATTAAATGCATATTACTCAAAGAGTGAACTATTTAATAGAATCAGTTACTAAATTAGTCGTTTTTTTTGATTTAAAATCCTTTTCTATTTTAGCAAACATTTCGGCTTTCCATTTTAGCTTAATTATAATTGAATTCCATTACCACTTTATAAGTCGATTAGATTACTTTGCTGCTTGCTCCATCTTGTGACGTCTTCTACAACTCGACTCTTCTTTTTGGTTTCTTCCCCATATCGAGAAGAGAAATGGAAGATGTGATAATCAAGACTCTTAACCTTCATCAAGTTAGACTATGAAATTAGGGATGACACTCCATTCGACTGTCCTTCCAACATGCTATTCCTTGAAATTCTATCAATGATATGGAGATAAAGCAGATTGTCTCAAATGATATGTAATTCTTGAGGCTGAAAGAACAAACATTCATAATGTTTAACTTGCGAGCTCCCCATAGGCAATAGCATTCTAATTAGTTTCTATTTTTCGATCAGTATCAAAGATTCGAAGTGAATTTCTTCGGAATTCAGAATGACAAATCTTACATTCTTTTCCAGGATGATGAAGGAAATCCTCTTGGAACTCGTGTGCTCATGCCAATTCCAGCAATCCTTCAACGAAAACGAGCAAATTTACAATTTTCAAAAATATTATCGATTGCTACGAAATACTTCTAAATCACTTGGTTGCATTTTATTGTTTATTGTTTTGCTTGCTCTCATATCAGTGCATACAACAGTATATTCTTGATTCTGATTTTTTCGTATTAAAAACTTGTTCTAAGCTGTATCAAATTACAAATAATTTTAGGGCTATGTTGTCGAACTTGTTACCAACTGCATTTCAAATAAATCCACAACATGTTTTATATCCTTCACTTGTTGGGACAATTTTCGTACACCGGCCATTGCTTCAGTAACTTCCTCGACCTAATATAAGAATATAAAATAAAAAGTTGTAGACAAACTAGATAGTAGCTATTTATATTTGGAGACCTATTAACATAAGAACTTATTCAAGATAAATGCGCCTCTCAAAATGAACAACTATAAATAGGTCTGTAAAAATATATTTAAAGAAAACAGTGCAGTAATCCAGTGATTTTGATTTTTCTTTCAAACTACTTGAAAGTAAAAAAGTTTGGGTTTTATTTGATTCAGAACCCGCTTACTTTTGCCAGCAAAGCGTAGGTATTCTTGATGGTAGCATCTACCGAATTACAGGAAGCAGAAATTGCATCAGCAAAACATTCCGTAGCTTGAACAGTTAATTCACTCATTCCTAAACATCATTTTGATATTTGTGGTAAAGAAATCTGAAGAAAAGCGAAAATAGAAGAAGTGATTAAAAATGATGGATTAGAAAAGCAGAGAATGAATTAAACGAAGAAACAACTAAATTAAATTTTTACTTATTAGCATTACTTTTGCTATGCAGTAAACTTTCCATACAGGAAGATGTGCTACATTGAGTAATAATAAGTCATACTAACAGCTCTACACTATAGCAGAGCAATTTGCTTCATCTAAACTTCACAACAATTTGAACATTGCTATTTTTATGTGTTCGTCATTATAAGACATGTAACAGAAGGAAATGTAAAGCTATACCATAATCATTACATATTTCAACTAAGAACTTGCCTTTTAATGATTCACGCAAATCACGTAATACGACATTTATATTAGTTGAGATAGCATTTGCATGCCTCTCAAGGCTAACTAAAACTTCAGGATCCGGTACAAAACTACTTGAGATACTCTGCAACGAAGTTCGACTTTCATCCGATTGCATACTGCTTTGTTTGACACTTTCACGAATTCGTCCTTCCAGATTTTCGACTACAAAGGTATGCTGCTGGTCAGCAATTGGGGAACTGGATGTAGTCGCTTTCATTTTGATTTCCGGATTTCTTGATTCAGAAGGCTGCTGCTGATCCATTGCTGTGCAGTTTTACGGAAAAGGCGCAGAAAACCTTTTCAATTCGTTCCTTAAATGGATAAAATGGACGATTTGCCGACGAAAATTCATTTACAATAAAGTGAATGGAGAGGAAAGCATTTATTTCATCAAAAATGATATTTTTAAGTACTTAAAAAGAGACTCACATAAATGTTACAAATAAGAGTAAACTCTGAAATCCGATAGCAGACCATGTCCTAATGCTATGTATCCACAACAAAACAAATATAACATCACCCAACTTTTGATCAAAATTTTTTATTCACTAACAATAAATACTCCACAAATTGTATGCTTCAATACACAAGAATGACGGGACACTCGGGTACCACGTACGCCACTGGCAAGTAAGTTCTGAGCTCAATGCGTGTATATGACTTTTACGAAAAATAACAAATACAAAATTATTAAATAAATCGAAGCTTTTGAATATCACAATGAGAAGAAGCACACAACAGTACCGTTATAGGTCAGAGCCATAATAAACAAATAAAATGAAGGTAGATATTTTTCCGGTTTGCGACGATTAATTTCAGGCTATGTCCTCGAAACAGGTTCGTGGCATCCCGGAAAGAAGTACTGAGAGAGTCAGCAGCGCACGCAGTTCGATGCACTGCAGAATACGGCTGGACTGCCCTAATTCTTCAACAGGAAGACAGTTGTCTTTCTCTTTCTCTCCCTACCTGCGGGTTACAAGTAAAAGTATGCTTAGTTCTTGAACTAAATAGACGTCACGTAAATCACGTCTTAAGACACTGACACATAAACCGGTTATTTTATCACTGTATCATTCTGATTATCATATCAGCTATCATCATGAAATCCCATTATTAAGACTTGGTACTTTTTAAAATCGTAGCAAAAATTGATTGTTTTCAGTAAATTTTGTCTTCAAATTATCTCGATCATATGAATTTGGAATTATGGAATTAAGCGTACGGAAGGGATCGGATCTTATCGCATTTTCTGTATTTAATTTCTATTGTCGGTTTTGTTCTGATATCGGATTATCCGTTCTTTTGCTATACAAACTTAAATGATTAAATGCTTTACAAATGATAAATTTGCAAATTTAATTATTTAATTAAATACAAATTTAATTACCGATTAAGAATCTGTAAAAGCGCAGAAAAATATTAAAGATATGACATTTGACAGGTTTTATAATACTTTCTACTACAGCTTGTAAATTAAATGAGAATTTTAAGAACTTTACTAACTTAACAATTTATCAATTTGTGTAACTAAGCAAGAAGTGAAAGTAAAGTTACTTGGATAAGAAGTTAAATTTTAGACTAATTTAGCTTTATCAGCTGCAATTTTCACAAGGACTTTTTATTGTGTTAAGTTTTTTATTAAATACCTGATAAGAGCGTCTGAATTCGCATCGCAGAAGGTGATAAGTGATAAAAAAGATAAGCCTTAGATCATTGATTAGACGACTTGGGCTTTTAGTACACAGTTAGTATCATGCAAGCATAAAGTTTAACTTTATAAACCCCAAACTCGAAACTAAATAATTTCTTTCTTATCAGGCATCCAATGTTTGATATGTAAATAAATCCTAAATATAGAAATCAACTGTTATCATTTGAGATTAATGTGATTTCATTATTACGGAATTAAAGTTTAGTCCTCTAATAATACTCACAATGACTTGAATTTACCTTCAAATATTTTTCAACTTCAATTTGAAGCCTTTTGTTTTATAATCATTCTTTTATTATTAATAACAAATGAAAGGAGAAAAATTTCCACAACATCATACTGTTTTGCTGAATCCTTAAAATGTCTGATATGTAAACAAACTATACAAATACATAAACCGGAATTTTCGGCTTGACTGTTGACTTCTTTGCACGTAATGGATCATTTGGGTTCGTGTAACGTCAGAATAGTTCACGTGCGTGAGCTAAATTACACTGATGTCTAGTATGATAAAGTATAATCAAGAAAGCTAGGAGTTCAGTTATCTTCTGATTTTATTTTTTGAATTTAACAAAATCAAAATGAGTAACAAAAACACTTATCCAACATATAGATTATAAACTTATTTTAATTAATCGATTTCAAATGCAGTAAGAGTGGAAGAGAGTAATAGTATATTATTGGACTATTTGACAGCCGAATAGTCGATGAACTTAATGGCTTCATCTCTCCTCGAGAGGTCAAGCTTAGTTCTACTGTAGCCTCATGCTTCTCCCTTCCCTCCCTCTGCTGATGTGTCATTAGTGTCCACTCAGCAAAACGAAGTGACAGGGACGGACAATAGAGCAGCAGAAGTGCCATGTGGCCCGGACTGCTTCTTGCATCAACAAATAATGTCTAACCTAGTCCGCTTTAAATGTCGCATGCGTGTGTGTGTGTGTCTGTGCTTGTTTGTCTGTGTGTGTGTGTGTGTGTGTGTGTGTGTGTCACATCCACGTGTCACACACATCCTTTTTTAGTTATCAGAGCATGTCGATATGACATACTCTGATAAAATAAACAAGAAATGTCTTTCCTCCTTTATTTCATTTTTAAATCTTAAATCTAAATCTTTGTTATCACTATTATATCACTCATTACTAAGTATTCTCACAACAACGTGCAATCGATTATTTCATTGAGTAAAGAGAAAAAATCCATTTTCACTAAATTTCTTTTAGTTCGTTAAAATTTAAAGACACAGACACATGCATACACATACACACACATGCATACACATACACACACATGCATACACATACACACACATGCATACACATACACACACATGCATACACATACACACACATGCATGTACATGCATACATACACACATGCATGCAGCAGACACATGGACATTTCGATTTATAATTTTTAATTGGAAATGCGTATAATGAGAATGACGGAGTGAATTGATGGTTATTGAAGTGTGAATAGGGAAATATCTGTCCCTCTTTCATCGTTTTCTTCTTTTTTTCTCCAACAATTTTTCTAAAAATGTAAAAGTACATTACCCTCTTGCATTATGCATGCATGCATGCATGCATGCATCTATTATCAACCACTTACTTCTTCACTGATAAATTTAACTGATATGTCACTTAATAAAAACTTTTATCTTTATGCAAATGATTGATTGAATATGAAACAGAGTTTATTTCTTATTTTTAATAAATTAATTCATTTCATTTTCTATATTTCATTAAATGATTCAGAATTATCGGAGAATGCTTTTTTTTTCTCGAAAATTTTCATTTTATCCCTAATCAAATCGTACTTCTATTTATTTTCGCTTTTGAAATATTGAAAAACTATGAATTTGAAATAACTAAGAATTAAAAATATCAATGGGTACTATTTTTATGTTTTACTTTCCTTTCTTCTCCTTTTTTTCTTTTCCATCATTTAAACTTTTTATTTCATTTTTTTTTCATTATAATCGTATATTTATACGAAAATCATTTCCATCCATTTCAAAGATATTAATCTTTTTTTATTATAATTCCAAGTATATTGGTCATATGCTTCAATTGAAAAATGAATGCTTGAATTTCAATGAAATGTGCACCATTTCATTGAATAATGCTTCATATTCCATAAATCACAGCGTGGAATGATCTAAATTCTCTGACATTTTCAATTCTTCCTTTCACCTTTGTTTTCAATAAAAGAACACTCTCAGGTGAGGGACTTACCTTACCTTACCTTACTCTTCAGGTAACAGTGTTCTTTACCTCTTATCTAACCATCTGTCGTATTTTGTGTAATTTACTCTGTGTATGGTGTACAGCCTTATTTCTTATCATTAGCCCTTTGAATCAACAGAAAATCCTATTTTTACTGCTAACTTTCATTTATCAACGGATCGACGACCAACGAAACATCAAAATTATCTATTAAAATATATTTCTGATGTTTACAATATTTCATCTTCCATTTTGTCTTTTAAATTGCCCCACCTACCATACTTCTATCTCTCCTTTTTTTGCAATTAATTCGAATTATCTTCCAATCCTTTGTTTCATGATCATTTTCACTGGACGAACTAATTCGTAACTCTGATCAACTGATATGAATATTTAACTCTGATCAACTGATATGAATATTTAACTCTGATCAACTGATATGAATATTTAACTCTGATCAACTGATATGAATATTTAACTCTGACCAACTGATATGAATATTTAACTCTGATCAACTGATATGAATATTTAACTCTGATCAACTGATATGAATGATTGTCTCACAGACCAAATTGCTTATTTCCTTCAAAAACTGTCGGTGCTAACAAATTTCCTTCACCATTTCTCCATTTATCCTTTAAAATATCATACTGAAATGTCTGTTATTCATGAAGAAAATGTGATAACTGAGGAATTTAAAAGACAGTAATTAGATGTTTGATGAATGATAGTTAGATCACTATGAAAAATTATAAATATAAAAACATAATTCAAAAATAAATCGTTCCTATTGTTCGCTATAAACTGCTCAATTTATACTTTTTGATTTATAAATATTTTTCGTTTCAATTTCAATTTGTTTCTCCTTCGCTTCAGCTTCAACCACAATTGAAGGAAGTCGGCGAAATAATGTAATGGAACTGATTACGTGTCACAGATAGCTAATAATAACGACAAGAAGATGTCATACTTTCTAAGAAATTTTGATCTTTTGAACGAATCACGTGCGAGCATTACGTCACCAAATGTTTCATTGCATTCATCAAAAGAAAATTGTAAACGTTCTTTTATAGAATTAACATTGTTTTAGATTATCTCTTCATTATTGCTATTATCATTTATTTATTCAGTTGTTTGTTAATTTTTATCATAAGCTTATCGGATTTCTTAGACACTAATTTATGCGAGCAGTTTTATGACATTTCTAGCATTTCTCTATTCACTGATATTTCATTAACATTTTATTGAATGCTATTTACTTGTAAGAAAAACAAATTAATCGGAAACAAAATATTAGAAATTTAAATGAAAAGAATTTAAAAATTATTATAACATTTTTTTCTTTTTTTTCAGATTTTATACATCCAAAGGAGACATCATGTCAGTATGCGCAATTGTTGAAATATTGCGCCAAACTTCCACAGCGTGGTCACATTCTGCGCTTTCCAACTGCTCGTCGACGATCGATTTATACATCTACAGATTTTGATAGTAAGTTGTTGCATAAACTCAAAAAAATGAAACAAATTGTTTTCCAAGATTGTTAAGCGCTGATTGTCACTGCGACATTTCAGCTGAGGCAGGATGGGAAGGTGATCGTTTTCGAGTAATGATTGTAGGAGAGGAAAGGAGAGGTGCCGATGGAACAGATCATGGATTTAGGACAGCTTCGCTAGATTTGGCACCTCATTTAGAAATCCTTGCAGCTCCGTCAACTTTCGGAGTTGTTGCTATTGCTAGAGCTATCATTCTGAAGTAAGTTCTTTAGATAGAAAATTTCTATTTTATCACATTATCAATCTAATGAGCAATGATATTTTGAAAATTTTGATTTCTGTATTCAAAATAAAATAAATCTTTAAATATTGCAGTTGACTGTTAACTTTTTATCACAAAGGTTATGAATGATTTCTGTTATATTATTGAATGACACCTTCGGTCTTCATTTTTAGATATACTCCATTTTTAAAAGTAACTCTTTCATCATTTGACGATAACAGAATCGATTCTCAAACTGTCGTAGAAGTGGAATGCAACAATGATGAATTGGGAAAGGTAAACATACCTTCTTTCATTAATTAGTGATGTGATTATAAAATGCGCATTTGTCTCACTTATTTATTGCAATATACATCTCGAAATCATAGAGTTGCACAGCATACAATTTTCAAGTAATTGTAGTCTTATTTTCGATACTGCAGGGACTTTAGCTGAGACATGAATACAGTTGGAAAAATTATAAAAGTGTTTACCTGACTTATTCTTACCTCTGCAACTTTCCTCTGATATCAGGTAGATGACTTATAAGTGATCTATCTTACTGATAAATTTCATGCAAGGACAGATTAGCTGTATGAAGTTTTGTAAAAATGTCAAAAATACAAGCATTTATAGTTTCTCAACTTTAATCTTGATTTAAGGTTTTTTCTATATAAATTATAAATTTCTCAATTCGATAACTATTTTTTTCCACGGCTTATTTTAAGAATTTTATACTTTAAACTTTTTTTATCCATTAAAATTTTTATTGAATTATTGCATTTTCACTTAACAGAAAATTCAAAAGTTTTGTAATAAATGAGTATTTCATATATTCTTTATTTTATTTATGTTATTTTTTGTTCTTTGACATAAAAAGGAAAAATTAATTAAATTGAGATAGAAATGATATTTTCAGTTTCAGTTTTATATGCATTCTAAAATCATAGATGAGAATACTGTATTAATAAACTGTTTAAAAAGGAAAAGAAAGATTACAATTATTTTTGTTTGGTACTTCAGATTCGAAGTAGCGGAAATGAATTAGTATTAATGGGACTGAAATGTATGTTTTCGGTATTATTTGAGTTGAACCGACGTGAATCAGAACTTTGTTCCGAAGCTCTTACTTCTTTGCTTCATTTATTGGAGCATATGACAAGTGACACATTAGTGAATGAAAGTTACTGCTCAGTGCAGAGTATGTTTAATATGCTCTGTCAATTAGCAATCGAAGGTTTGTCACAAGTTGACACTATCAAATTTAATGAAATTTCAATTTTAATGTTGCAAAAGTTGTAATTTTCACAGTTTTATTCATCATTTACATTTAAACCATTAGCTGCTTTATATTACCTGCTTCTCCTTCTCTTTTTAAATTTCAGATGTGCTTTTCCTAAATTTTTGAAATTTCAACACTGAATTAAGTCATTTCATTACAGTAGAATCAAATGATTTCTGACTGCATTGTTCCAAATATATTTCTTAGCTTTCAGCCATCTTCATAATTTCTGATAGATTAATTTGAGTAACATTTCAGGTGGTGCCGAAGTGTCAGCGAAAGCAGTATCGTGTATGATAGCTTTAGCGATTGCTTATGGTGCACCAGAATTTATACTTTCATCAGTAGCCACTCTATTTTGTGATAAGCTCAATAAATTATCAGTTGATGTGACTGTATCAGTTGAGGTACCCAAAAATCATCAAAAGTTAGCAAATTTGGTGCGACGGATTCTGCTTCGCAGTAGTAATGTGCCAGGATGGTAAATATTGAAAATTATTGTAAAGCTGAATTGGAAATTCTTCCCATTCTCATTTCTTAGCTAGCACAAAGTGGAGACAAGAGATAAATTAAATTGGTAACAGTGGATGAGGAGACAGGTGGCTTTGCTGTCAATTAGTTTGTTTTAGTAGTGGTGACTGGTGGTCGCACTGTTTGATGGAACATGCGATGTTGTCATCCTTCGATGTGCGAATACCGGATAGTGTCCTTCCAGATACTCCGGATGATCGTCGACTGACCGGAGCAATTGCTTCTGACGGTATGATTGGAAATGAATCTTTTTCAATTTTTGACTTTTCCATGACATGTCTTTTTTATAAAAACCTACACAAGCAGTAATAGTTTGTCTGTCTGTAATGGAAAAAAAGATTAATTACATGTTTTATTTTTCCACTTCGCATTAAAAGTTTTATTAGTTAGGTGAGTTCACAGGTAACTTTTATTAGCTAGGTGAGTTCACAGGTAACTTTTATTAGCTAGGTGAGTTCACAAGTAACTTTTATTTATTCAGTTAATACTTCTAAATAAATGTCTCACGAGATAATTTGTAGAATCCAATAGATATTTCATATTTAGAGTTTTTGTATTTTTAGATGCAATGAATTTGTAATTTTTGATTTCTCTTCAAATTTTTGATAAAATAAGGTTTGTTTTTTTCTTGAAGGAGAATATGTATATGTTCTTGCTTGTTATGGTTTATTCAAGTATGGTACAGGCTTGGCGGAAACAATCGAAGGCAAATTATATGCTTCTAATAATAATTTAAAGGCAAAGTAAGTTTCCCCTAATTTTCATTTAATTATTCTTCATAAATATTTTACAAGAAAAAAAATTTAATATTAATGTATGCAATAAATTTCATTTTTTATGAGCTTAGATAAATCAGTTCTAAATATACTTTTCAAGAGTGGAATGAAGGTAAAGTCAGAAGAATTAAAGGTAGATAAGATCATCTTTCTAAACAAATTCGAATTTTACCTAATGCTTTTTATTTAAATGCTAAAGCTAATTATCAATTGTCGCATTCCTTCATTCAGAAATCTTTAAGAAATTTCTCCTATTCATTCAGCAAAGGTTCTTGGTTGGCAATATGCAATGGTGCTTTATACCTTCGGAGACGTCAGTCATCTCGAATGTGGGTTATTGACGTCGATACTCTCCGTGAGATAGGAGAAATTATGCTACATACAAGTGTCACATCAGGTATTTCACACTAAAAATGACAGATGAAGTTTTATAGTTTAATTTTTGGCATCAGTTATTTATGGGTTAATCCGATTGTTAAGCATAGATAGGTGTCATCTTTAGTCACTGATATCACTGATATCAATGACTAAAGATGTATTAACCAATGCTAAATTTACTCTCCTTTCATTTATTTCTTTAATCTGAGATTTGAATAATTTTTATTTTTGCCAAAAATTGATACTAGCGATTTAGGTACTATTTTCACCGATGGTACAACTTTCTTCCAAGCTGCTGTAGATGAACAGTGGACATTAACGGTAAATTTTTAATACTTAATTTTGATTTTTAGTAATTTAAAGTGACATTATTTTTGAAAATTTCAAAGGACAGTGGTAGAGGTAGACTTTATTTTTAGGTTACTCCACTGGATGATTCATTCACTCCAATTCAAGATTTGCGACAAAATCAAAAATTCCGCCTTGCCGAATTAAATTATATCGCTGTTGGTGAAACATACCCAATACCACATGAATTACCTCTCACTCTTCCTAAATCTCTGCAAGGTTCATTCTTCTTTGATTTAAATCTTAACTCAGAATGATAATACACACATCTTTGACATCGCTGAAAGTACAATAAAAATTTGAAACGTAACGAAAATGAAACAAATATGAATGAGTGAGGTGATAGAACATCAACAGGAATTCTCACAATAACTTCAAAGAATTGAAATTAAGAAAACCAATTAGAAATTATTTTAAAGTAAAGTAAAGAAATTTGTAACAGTTACAGTAATTCATTTTAGAATTCATTGTTAACTTTTGTCTCTTTAGCACAGGCATCAGATTTACAAATGAATCGAGAAATGGCTTTGCTGTTAGCAAGAAATGGTAAAGTTTATTACGCTGGCGATGGCACACGTTTAGGTTTACAGGTAAAAACGATAATTTAAATTGCATAGGTATTATTTGTCCAATTATTTACGGAACTTTGTTCATTGTTAACTATTTCGGTTAAGTTTTCTTCTTTTTCCTCTTTAGCATAAGCATCAAATTTAAAAATGATTGACAGATGATCTATTATTAGCAAAAAGTACGAAAGTTTATTGGAATTTCTCTCGATAATTTAAAAAAATTGCTTGAACTTTTGAATCTTGTAAGTGTCTCGAATAAATCTTTGTTTCTGAGATGCTTAACAGTTTAGAATGTTGGTTGCAACTGGATGAAGCTAGTATTACCAGAATCAATAGTTTCAATAGCGGTTGGTTTTGATACGGAAACAATTGTATTACGTTCCGGAGCCGGACATTTATGGATTGCTGGTGTAGGGCCGGATACGGTACGCCAAGGTAGTCCGACTGCTGGTCGATTTCAGAAACAGGAAGCAGGTTCAGTGGCTGTTAAGTTAAGAAAATTTCAAAATTTAAACAGGTAAACGATATTCGCAAAGGTCTGTTCATTTAGTTTCTTAACAATGATTTTCTAATAATAATGAATTCGTCTGACTCAGTAATTATCTTTTGCCATGATAAACTCTACCATTTTTAAATATTTAATTTATCAAATCTCCATTTTCATCGACATAATGTGAAGTTTGACCATACATTCAGTTCATTTTGTTGAATTATATGCCAAAAGTCTTTGAATTTAGACGGCGCTGCTTGTCAGTGGCGGTATCAGCCGGATGTATAGCATACGTAGTGGATAACGGAAAAGCATACGTTTGTGGCCGGCACACAATGCAATGCCATCCGGAAACCGGACATATTTATGGCCTGGAAAATGTTCATTTGGCATCAATAGCTCTTGGCAAGACCCATGCTGTTGCTATTTCACGTCATGGTCACCTGTATACCTGGGGCCTGAATAATCTTAATCAATGCGGTAGGATCGAGGTATATTCTTAAAATACAGATCCGATACAGTGACATAAAAAAAGCTAATATCGACAAATTAATTAGCATCGCAAAATCAGCAAAATGATTAAAATTAATACATGTATACAAAGGCTTTCATCATGGATGTGATTAGGGGGAATTGAATTCTTTGTTTTGGGTTAATTAATTAGATGACAGGTTAAGTTAAACAAAAGTGATGCTGATTTTTGCAGTCTGCAAGCAGTTACATGCATCAAGAAGTTGCTAGTGAAACTGAAAATGAAATGTGTAAGACAGCAATGACCGAAGGAGTAGAACAAAGTTCATATTGCCTTCCAAGTGAACATCTTTGGGTCAAAGATTTTGCTTCAATTTGTTTGAAATGTGGCAGATGTTCGGCACGTGGAAGTCGGTAAGTCGGTAACTAATTCTGCTACAATTTACAATGATTTTTTCTTTCTCTTTTCTCTCCCTTTGAATAATTTGCTTAAAATTTTTGTTCAGATGTGCACCTATAAGAACCGAACGTGATACGAAAGGAACGCCATGTACGTGTGGAGAAGGTGAAACGTGTTGTCTAAGGTTAAAAACTTATTTGAATTTGATTGATAATTCCGATTATTTATTCTCTTTGATCAGTTTCTGTTAACTTAAATAGTAATTTCTTCCTATAGCACTTTAAGTTATCATTTCTATCGATTTCTTTTATCTTTCTGAACAGTTGACAAAATTAATTGCTGTTTAGGTGTGGTTTATGTCGTGCATGCGGTGAATTCGTAGTTGATACTTTCGATCAGGACATACGGACAACACCGCCAAGAGCAGCACTTCCTCCCTCTCGTCTAATTCTTCAGAGAGATAGTCCCGAAATCAAGGTAGATTAATTAATAATTTGTTTGAAATTTTAAATTTTGAATTTTTTTACTGTTCTTTTAGACAGTGAATATGCATTAAGAATTCGAATATGAATTACGAATTTTTTATTGAATTCAAATTTCAAACTTATTTGTATATATTGCAGGTTTTATGCACAAAACTGATTACTTACACCTAGGTTATAATTGAAAAATCGTTTTACATCAGTTCTGATATTTTAAACTGCCAATTGATTCAGGTTTCATCCGTATGTTGTGGCAATTATCACACTGTTGTATTAGCTGCTGATCGACAAGTTTTCACTTTTGGTTCAAATTGTCATGGACAGCTAGGTGTTGGTCATATAAGGAAATGTATTGGTCCACACAAGGTTAATTTTAAAGTAAAAGTTAGCTGGTGACAGTAAGTTAATAGGCATTTTATATTTTGAAGACTTGAAATAGCAGACTTAAATGATAGAAATTAATAAACTTGTCTCTCTTCCTCTCTATTAAATAATATTCATCCAATCAAATTTTATATTTGAGAACTTATTTTGCTCTGTGCAAAATAACTATTATTAAATGAATACGAAAAGATCTGAGATATTTTCAGGTGAATTTACCAGGTAAAGTGCAAGTAGTTCAAATTGCTGCTGGTTCAAATCATACGGTGCTAAGGACAGCTGATGGATCTGTTATCACATTTGGTGCTCATAGACAGGGTCAACTTGCAAGGTAACTGAAAGTTCAGTATTTTTGTTGAAAAATTTTCAGACAATTTTGACAAAAGTTATGTTTAGAGAAGGAAATGAAAAAAACTGGTTTGCAATGCCATCGTTTGTGGCAGGTTATGGTCGTGGAAGTGGTACCGTTGCAACCTGGATTGGTGCCTCTGGTGATACTACTCTAATTCACAGCCAAATACGCATTTACAGCAATGATATCATTTCAGATTGTCAGGTGTGCATTATACCTTTCATTCCATTAAAATTTCATTAGCGATGTAAATGACGTCCGATCACGTCAAAACTTACTATAGTTTAATAGAGAGAAGCGTTAGCAAACAATATCATTTAGTTATAAATAACAACAATCCAGAATTGCTACTTTACGTTTATTTACTGTTTCAGCTATTCTCGACATGACTTTATCAGTTACTCGAAAAATTTCTGCCTAGTAGTAGTAAGAATATATTTTAATAACAATATTTGTTGAAGAATGTAAGGAAGGATAAGACAATGTTATCACTGATTCGTTCAAATCTTCTTTTCACCGTCAAATAACTAATCGAATCTTTGTATTAAAGCAAATTGAAATTGGCTAATGTATTTGTTAGAATTTAATTAACTTTTACATTTGAACAGAATTAAACATACTTATGGTAAAGTCTCACTCATATAACTTATCTTATCGCGATGCATTTATTTGAATTGCGAGCATCAGTTTCTGTATTTTACTGATTCTTATCATCCGGTTTGTACTGTTAAATTCTTTTTTCTTTCCATTTGCAGATAGTCGCAGACAGTGAAACCATAATAATATTTCCGAACCAAATTGGCAAGAATTATATGGCAATTCGACGCAAATATAATACTTTTTGCCAGTATTCATTGGGTACTGATGGTCTCTACACTAAGTATACTATTTTCTTGTTTCATTGTAGGATTTTGAGTAACTTTCAGCAATTATTTCATGACATAAGTAAGTACGTCTACATTTTCTGGTATTTTTTAATCTAATTATTATCAGTTTCAACTCAAATTTACCTTTCCTGAAAGTACAAATAATAGGGAAATTTGTAGTTGGTGCTTGGAATCGAAATATAATTTATTGTGGGCATTTAATACAGCTGAAATGCGTATTAAATCAATCACCGATTGTGTTCCAATTTCTGGTAAAAAAATTGAAGCAGATACTGTCTTTGATGAAACGTTGGAAGAAATCGTCAAAGAAATTCAATTTCTTCGTGCACCCGAATTTCTGATTCCGGTACGGAACGAAGCAAGTTTGTCTAGCAAACACGTCGCTTTGAATCTTTTTGGAATTACTTACGCTGCAACGATACTGGAAAGCAGACGAGCAGTTGGACAGAAGGTTCTCTTCCTGAATTTATCGTTCTGATTTTTTATATCCTTTCGCTTGAACCAATCATTTTGTAAAATATTTCAACAAAAATATAGAATTTGATTTTTGGAATTGAAAAGAATTTCTGTTCATTAGCAAATGTAAATTCGTAACAAAATTTTAAAATTTCAGGATAATCAATTTGCTACGCATTCGAAAGCATCAAATATAATTGGTGCGGTAAATGGACGAAATTTATCATGTGGTTATCAACATGTCAATCGTTTTGATGGATATGGTGGTGGTTGGGGATATTCGGCTCATTCCGTGGAAGCAATCCAATTTCGTACTTCACGTGATATTCGATTTTTCGGTGTTGGATTATACGGCGGACGTGGCGAATACATTGCGAAGTATAACTTTAAATAATAATTTTCATTAAAACATTCGAAAGAGTTCTTCTTCAACGAAGTTATTGAATGTAAAGGATTAATGACTTGTGAAAAAACTTTTTATATTATTTCTGTAAATTGCTATGAAATTAATTTATTTAATAATTAACTTTAACTCATTATTAATGCATACCTTTATAAAGTATAAAAGCAGGTAACAGTGATAATCATATAGCATTGCTTTCAGATTAAAACTTTATCGTCTTTGTCCACCAGACTATAATGAACAGAACGTTGAGTTACTCAGTGAATCTGATGAAATGCTTTACGAATGCGCCGCACACGAGAAGGCGCAGTTATTGTTTTCTCGTTGTGTCTTAATCAAATCAAATTTATGGCACGTCATTTGTGCACAAATTAAGTAAGTCTTTAAGAAAAGAAAGGAGTATTTTTGAAATTAAAGTAAGGAATGAGTTATAAGCTTTTTTTATGGAATAAATATTTGATTTGGTACAATTATTACGAGCATATCACTTATCATCGAACTAATATCAGCTGTTATCATTTGACAAATTCTTGTCCAAGCATTATTGTACAGTTCCATTAATTAAGTTAACTTTTTAAGTAATCACTCCTCTTGTGGTCACATCAATCTCCTCTTCCTCGTCACCTGATATTAGACTTTAGTTCACTATCACCGTCTTTATATTAATGTCTTTGTCTTTATCAAATTTACTGTCACAATTCAGATGTATGGAAATGATTTTACTGGATGTGAATTAAAATCTTTTAAGTGGTCCAAGTTCTGATTGTGGCTCTAATGGACAGTCTAATGTCACTGGCGATGATGGCGTGCAGTTCTTTTTTCGTAATTCACGTATGTCCAACAACGGAACCGATGTAAATGTTGGTCAGATTCCGGAATTTTTATATGTTTCGGAAACATCTGAAGGACAATCACCTAATTTTGATGCGAAAGATAAAACAATGGATATGTATGTCTTTTATATAAGTATTTAAGTGAGATAATAAATGATAGTTTTTTGTTTTATTTTAAAGTTCGAAAATTTTTTAAGATTTTGATCAGTGCATATTATCATTATCCATACCTTGATAAGATCTTGAAATATTTCTTTGCACTATCAAATATTGATCAGCAAAAAATGGATTATTTGGGGATGTTTTCCACAGTTTAATGATTAATAAAAATCATTGTTGTTAACAAATTGAAATTAATTATAAGTTTTCATGACAAGTTATTCCCATTTCCGGATATAAGTGAAGTATATAATTTCATGAATAAATTACTCCATTTCCGGATCCTGATTCCATATCTTTCAGCTCCTGTGATTGTATTTCGTGTGCCATAAGTTCACATCATCTGTTAGAGGTTTCGACACTTACCATTGAATCATTGTTTCGTCTGCTTGATTGGTCTATTCAAAAAGCTTTAGTAGAAGTATTCAATAAAGATAAGTCATGGTACCAAGAATGCAATATGATTATTGTCATCTTGTCCTTAAGGTTTTTGCGGTTAGTTTTACTTTCAAAATTTACTTTCATAAATTACTTTTTATGAAACTGAATATGTTCTTAATGAGGAAGAAATTTCAACTGATTGATTTTGAAATGTCACCAAATGTTTTGAACTTTGTGTGTAACTTTGTGGTGTTACTCTCTATTTGAATTTATACAAATTGAAGAAAAATGAATGCTCGTGAATATTTCACTTTAGAGTAACACTGATTTTAGATTTTACATTTGCTCACTTTATCTGCCATCCAAGAGTGGAAAACAGATAAATAAAAAAGAGCCATCAAGTGGTATTGCTGAACAAATGGTGCGATTCGCATCTATAATTGGTTCAATTTTTGAAATTGCAAACAACCAACACAGTGATGTCAGTGTTTTAATTGGTTCTCTCGTTAATTATTTTTGATTAGATTTGCTGTAAATACCATCCTCTCATCTTATTTTACTATTTCAAATAATTCTCTCGATATCTTCCCTACTTGTGGACTATAAATATTTCACTCAAAAATAACCTATTTTAAATGCTGGAACACATCTGTTCAACACCATCTACTACTATGACATTTCAATGCATTGTTAATTTAATTTTAAATTCTTCGAAAATATTATGTCGTAATTCCAATCAGAAAGAAGTAATTGTGAAATATTAATATCGAAGTTAAAATATTCCTACCAATAGACAAATCATTTTGTTTAACTTTCAAAAATTTTTGAAATTGGATATGACAATTTTATTCAGAGTACAGCTTATTCGATACTACTGGAAGAAGCAGTCAGTTGTGCAGTGCAATGTTCACATGTCTTATACCCGAGTTCAGTAATTTTTCTCGACCGACTTTCCTTCTTAATGTCAGCGCCAAATCGTGAATGGTCATTAATTGCATTATTAAGTGCAGTATTAAATCAGGAATATGTAAGGAATATTTCATTGTTCTTTTTTAAAATGGTTTTTCGAGATTTCAACTATCCATTGAAATCTCGAAAAACTTCTAAAATTTGTTTTGTTAAGAGATAAGTAAAAAAAAAAATTAGAATGATAAGCAAGAAAAAAAACGCTGGCTAAATAGAAGAATACTGAAAGGACTGTTATCATATGGATCAAAGGCAGCATTCCGGTTTTTTTTTTGATGCCCACAAGGACGGTTAGGTGAATTAATTTAATAGAATCGGAAGGATATTATCATCCGGAAACATGTTAATGAAAGATTCATCGTAAAGTGGTTGCATTTCAGGTTTTACCAACTTTGCTTGGTTCTGAACGTAGCTTTGCACAGTTTCCAATTTTGCTTACCAAAATGAACGAACAGATGGGTAAAAAACGAATATCAGCAAATCAATACCGTCTTGTTTCTTTACAAAATGTATTTCGATTTCTCTTTGAAATGGCTTTTACGTCAGCAACGTCAGTTCAGGTAAATTATTATTGCTGCTAAGCCAAAATTTGATGATGTGTTCTCGAAAATTTGAACTATCACAAAACTTACTTATTAGGGAATTAATTGCCCAACGATAATTCTATTTGTTTTATTTCTAATCGTGCATTTTTCATAGAATGAGAGCCGACTACGTCTTAGAACTGTTGCACATTCACTAATTATTGCAATTGCTCGAGAATTGGTGACATCTAAAGACACTATCGGTGATGGCCCACCAATCTTGCAAACGCCAAACAGGTCTTCTTCGATTTTCATCTTTATGTTAGCACGTGAATAACGTGAGTCACGTACATACTGACGTACGCTCTTTCTTTCTGTTGCATTTACCGTCATTATACTTTAGATGCTTACATTTTCTATTAAAGTAGTGATGATATGTACACATTTAAAGGTAGACGAACCAAGTTTCATTTAAATCTTGAACTCTGCTTTAGGTTTCGTCGTACTGCAGCACATGCAAGTTGGGATGTAAGCAATGGTGCATGCGATGCAATTGCATTAAGTGTAGATGTAACTGGTATTACTTTACATGGAGTTGGTGTATACTGTGCTCACCACGACCAGGAACAGAGCTTTGTATGCGAGGTAAATATGAGGTTTTTTTGTTTTATTTCACTGACTCTCGAATATAACTCTTCACTCTCGATACATTGCATATTTTATAGATTTCATGAATGTATAAATAATTAATAACAGCAAAATATTTTGTGGAGGATTAGAATTCATGATTATTTTCATGCATTTTCTTTATTACTAGTAACTTAATTCGGCTTATTTTTCTGAAATTTATTTCAAATTCATATTTCCACCTAAATTCTATCAAATTTTAGGTACTATTAAATGGTGGTGATGCAGCACATGAACAATGGAATGTACTGGAAAAAGTTGTTGGCACTTTAGCGAATAAATTTGAGCCTTGTCAACGAGAAGTTTGCTTGTTACGATTAACCAAAGTTATCAAACTGCAGCCTGGTTGTACCTATGCTATCAGACTACAGATTAATGGTGGCAAAACATTTTGTGGTGAAGGTAACAGTTCGAAAGTAAAGCTTCTTTTCGAAACTCAGAAATAAGTACTGTTACTTATGCATTGGAATAGATTAAGTAATAGAATTGTAATGGTTATCATCTGGTATATGAACTACTTTAAAAATTCAAACTCTATTTGGCAACTCGTAATTTTGAATTAGTTTTTTTTTTTTTTAGTGGTAAATCTAGAAAGAGTTTCTTGAGAGTTAAGGTGGTAATTACAGATATTCTTTAGACTACAGAAGATATCGGCACACAAAATTTAATTATTTTTTCTCTAAAATTAGTAATTTCCTTCTCATTATATTTACCTTAAAGAAATTCCAAACTGTTTGCTTCCAAATTTCAAACTCTTCGAATCTCTGAGGTTATTTTTTCAGGCGGAATTGGAACTGTTCGATTATGTGACGGAAGTCGGATGCATTTTGAGTCCTGTAATCTAAGCCTGAACGGAACTTCCTTGTCTCGTGGCCAAATACCGTTTGTTCTCTATTCTATACAAGACGATGAAAGTGATGTTATTCAACAGTTAGCTAATCCTGAACAGGTTTTTGCTATCTTTCATTTCTTCTCAGAATTTATTTTCATTACTTCTTCAGAAAACATTTTGCTTTCCTTCATATCTAAGAAATTTGAAAGTCCCTAATTTAAATATGATGAATATACCCATACATAATTTGATTCTTGAAACTCTAAAAGTGTCGTAGCATAGCACTAACTGATATTAATAGAAATTAGCTTCTACAGTAAAGTCAAGAAAAATAATTATAGCATTAAGTAACTGGCAAAAAAGAAAAAGTTTGATTAACATAATATCTCCTACTTGCAAGATTCTCACCAGAAAAAGAATAAATATGGTTTGGCCATAACAATAACAGATTTCTCTATAGTTTGCACTTCATTCTTGGCACTTTTTTGATATTTGGCTGAGCATACTAATTTCTCAAAAGAGTAATCAAAAAATGGCTAATTTAAAGCTAAGTGTAAGTTATATATTTATTATTTTTCAGTTGGCCAATTGGTTCTTATTGCTAATTCGCATGCTATCATCTAAAATATCAGATTTAATTGCAGCCGGAAATCTTTTATCTCAGGAACAGTCTTTTTGTTCAAGTATTGCAGGTAAGTTTTATCATCTTATTTCTTATCACTGTTATCTGTGTGTTATCACTGCCATCTATTATAAGTGCTGTTTACAAATAACATCACCACACTGTTTTAGCAGATAATAGAGGAAGTCAGTTATGACCATATTCATGCATATAATCTGATAAGAAATGCATCTGATAAATGAGTGATAAAGTTGTGATAACGTTTATGCTAATAATAGTGAAGGATTCACTTAAGGTTACATAATGGTATTTCTGGAAGCTAATCCACAACGTGCACTGGATGTAGTTGCAGTGTTGGATGATCTGCTACCGATGGTTTCATCAGCAAATGGTGAACGACTTGCTGAGGAACGAGAACGTCTGCTTATGAAGTATTAATTATTTTGATAAATTATTGAGATAGACTAAATGGCATCAATTATATGACTGATTATTGTTTACAGATCGATGCATCACAACAACGCCTATTCACGCAATTTGCAAACAGTTATCGAATCAGCACATCCGTATTCATCTTGTGGGATACAGTCGCAGGTATATATAATTTGTCGTCGAGAAATTAAATTCATACAATGATATCACATTTGAACACTGTTATCAACGAGTAAATTAAATATTTCGATCAGACTTGTAATTATGTTTTCATGCTTAATGTTTGGAAATTCTTTGCTATTAACACTGAATTATTTTTCGTTCTTAAATTCTGCAGCAATATGTAAAAAAAACTTGAATACCTAAATGAGTTGGAATAAATTTGAAATAAGAGACTTTGGTTAAATGAATTGCTTACTATTATTGTTCAATGCTCATTTATCATGAAAATTACATGGATATATCTATCAAGAAATATGATTAATTCCAAATTAATATTGCAGTTAGAATTTTCGATTTCAATTTTGATTTTTTTAATAGATTGTCGACTTCGGCAAAGAAGTCCAGTTCATGACAGTGCAATTCAGTGAAGAATGCTGTACCGGTCAGGCAGATGATATTTTATGGATTTATGCAAAAGTTGGTACCGAATGTTATGTACCTATTGGAAGGTAACTTTTTGATATTTTGAAATTTCAGCAAAAAAATCTATTAATGGATATTTTTTTGGCTCTTTTAGGTACTACGGTGATCGTAATTGGCCTGATCGTATGCTGTTGATTCCGGGTTCCAATTTATGGTTCATAATGGAATCGGCATATTATTCAAGTGATAAACCTATTGAGCAAGTTGGTTATCATATCATTTAAATTTCTCTGCCAACTTATTTTTGAATGTCACATATTGAAAAATTGTTGTATTAGTATACAGAGTGATGTTTTTTTAGATTTATGGTTACCGATGTACAGTTACAGGATATCGATATTCAGAAAAAGATTCTGATATGATTTTGGAAGAAGAATTGACTTGGATTTGTGCTAGTGCTTGCAGATTACTTGTCCAGGTGGAATTTCTAGCTTCACTTTTTTTCTTATTAAATTTTGAATTTTCATCCAAGTATTTTCAATGCCTTAAAAACTTATACTTATCTACGAGATAGAGAAAGAGTACATTTCACTTTTCCCTACCGTTTGCAGATTCCGTCCGTCAAAACCGTGATAGCAGCAGTAACGATGGTCGAGGATGAAATTGATGATATTGTCCGTAAACATGGCACATTACTTCGGAAAGGATTAAATCTATCCCATCTTCCAACAGTTAATGAAGTTCTGAAGCGTAACTTGCCAACTCCTTTACAAACTTCAGGTAAACTTAGCAGTGAAATTTTCGTCTATTTAAAAAAAAAAATTCTTTTTTTAGTTGAAATTGTTAGTTATAATGACAATACTTGTCTGTTTTTAAAATGATTTTATTAAAAAATATTTCTTCTATTATCTCTCTCTCTTTTTTTTTTTTCCTTTGGATGACCGAATGTATGGGATTTAGTTCGGTACAGAATTAAGCTTACTTTTTGTCAAATTGAGGAAGTAATTTTTTAAGATCTGAAATTCTTAAAAGAGTTTATCACTGCTTCTGCAAATACTGTGGCTGGTTTCCTGGCACGATGGTTGATGAATGAACCAGTTGTAGATCTTCATTCCAGTCAACTGCAAATGTCTGATGAGGAAACACGACTTAGAATTCCCACTCAGGTAATTCTAAAAAAAAGTTATGTCTCCTATAGAGTAAAAGTATTTCCTTTGGTTTATCGGTTCCTTTCATCATGATTTTTATGTGGATTTGTGCTGTGACACCAATCAAATAAGGAAAACAGATAGTATAACTAATACTTCATCTAATTTGTCTTTGTCCTTCAATCATTTGCGTTGTTTACCCTTCGTGGGTTACAATATTTCTGAATTACCAACCTAATACGAACCTACCTCTCCAGGTAAAGCTGATTCCTAGAGATCAATACAAGGAGTCGTCCAGTTTTCGTGATATGTTTCGATCACGGCAATGACTGCTTATCAGGATTATTGCTTTGAGGAGTTACGTCTTGGTTGTTACAAAGATGCACAGTTCTGTAACCGTTGATGGCAGGTTGGTCCTTTTTTCATTTAACCTATCGATGATCTAAGTGGTAGGTGTTTAAGTGAGTTCAACTAGAATAAAACATTAAATTACCTGAGAAAACTATATTTAGAAGCAGCAATCTAGTTATTATTTAATGGAAAGTTTCTTTACTTATTCTCTTTTACAAATATTTAAATTAATTTCTTAATTTAGTTTTTTGGCCAACTGGACACCCAAACATGGTGGCACATATCGAATCGAATGCCGTTTAGATGGATTTCAATTGGCTCAGAGCTATTTGGTTGAGGTAATTTTAGAAATGATATTTTTATATTTTGTGACAACTTTATATTAGCTTTTTACTGAGGAATATTGTTTACTGAGGAATATTGTTTTTAACATTGTCAGTTTGTTTCATACTAAATTGTTTAACTTTAATTGATTCCATGTCCAACTTATAATATATCAATTGATTATTGAAGATTTTTAGAATGAATATGAGGTATTATATTATGAGATCCCCAATTTTGTTTTGTTAAGTAAAAAGACTAAAAAAGTTTTAAAAAAGTTGAAAAGTAAAAAAAAAACGAAGTGGAAAAAATATTTTTTTTTTATTTTCTTGCTTTATTTTATTTGAAAATTTACTACATTGTTAAACTAAAGTTCAATTTTTGTTTCATTAAATTATTGAAATAAAGTTTTTCATGCTTATTTTGAATGATGTTTTTTGTTGTATTTTTCTAATTTTGTCTCTAATTTTTTATAGGTTCGGGACAATAATATATTCAGTGGTTCAGTGTCATCAAAAGATGACAGTAAAAATCGTTTAAATCGAAGAGTAGCTCATTTTAGCAGGTTTGACTTAAATTAATCCAACGGAAAAGGAAATCATGAATTAGCTTTAAGCAAGATTCCAAAATTTGCTGATTTTCTTGCTGTCAAATAAGGAGAATAAGGGAAGGTGAAATTAGAGCAATTCCTTGAAATAGATTGCTTTCAGGACACGTTTTGCTTTATGTGACCAAAAGCTGATGATGAAAGGTGTACGAATCCGTGCTTCGCCAGCGTTGAATTCCTCACAAATTGGTGTCATACCTCGCGGTACTACTGTTTCTTATATTGAAGAAGTAGAAAACGCTGATGGTGTCTGGTTGAGACTTACCGATGAAGCTTGTGCGATATACTGTGATGCACAATTACCTTCGCAGGTATGTCTCTCGAGAGTAGATCCATCAGGCCATCGTAGAAGATCGACAACTTGGCTGGCTTTCTATTAGTAATTTCCCAGTGAAATCTGTTGATAACAGTTAAATCAATTTTAGTTTCGGGAAGGCATTTTATCTTTCATCGTTATTTATGGCTTTATCCTCAAAGTATATTAAATCAAAAGGTGTATTTATGGTTCACTTAATCTCAGTAAGAGACATAAGTTAGCATTAAATTTAAATAGATTTATATCTTTTAAATCTGCATAATGGCTTTTTTTTAGGGTTGGTGCTTACAATATAGTAACCATCTAGGACGTTCATTCTTATTGCTACAGTCCGATTCTACGGAGGGTTTTATTCATGATTCTAATTTATTAAGTACCACCATCCAATTACCACAAAATGGGGGAACAAACAATGAGCAGTATCTTGAGCAATCGTTGCAACTTGACGTTGAACAGGTAAGGTCATTTTCATCAATATAATAAATAAACTTTTATATTATAACTTCTTTAAAGATTAAAATTATTAAAAGTTACGATGAGTTGGCAATAGTCAACTGAGTAGCATTTAGCTAAGCTTTTTTGATTTGTATTCTAGAAATTTCTTTCAGAAAGAGATTAGATTCACATGAATTAATATGTGGGATTTGGAATGATTTGAAGTTAAAAGTTCTTATAGATATATGCAGCATGTGATTCGCTCCCAGTCTCGATTTACAATTATCCATCAGTAGATGCCATTTGTGGTGATGTTATTAGCAATGCAGAAACCGGTGAAATAAGATCGTCCGGTTGGATTCATAATAAGCAGGGCATATGGATACGATTATCCGGCTTTGATCAAAAATATGCTTTTGTGCAGGTAAAAGACTAACCCAGAATGTTCTATTGATTAGGGTTTGCTTTTTTCATCTTTTGAAACTAGGACAAGATTAGAAAAAAAATTTTTTTTTTCGTTCTAAGACACTTCATCGCATGATGAATTAAATTTACATCTTTGTTAGTCTTCGAAGTTCAATTTTGGTAGTATAAGCATAAATTCTATTAATTGGAGAATTTGAATTTGAATTTTTGTTATATATAATTGTAGTTAACTTTTTGGAATTTCACTTTTGTCTTTTTTCTTTGAATCCTAATTATTGGACGAATGCATTGAGATATTTATAGGATTTGGCTGGTAATCGATATTTACAAAAAATAAGTGACATTACACAACGCTGTGCCAATGGAAATGTTGAAGGTTCACCGACGGGTCAAAAACCAATAGCGCAAATTTACCCGCGATCAAGGTTAAATTTATCAAATTTAAGAAAGTTAACAGGAAAGAAATCCTTATCAGTATTGATTTTGCAATTTATTTGAACTGTAAAATGATTTTAGGAGTGATCAGTTGATGCAAGCATTAAAGCCTTCAATTGCTGACTGTTGTCGAACAGTATTCGCTGCATTTCTGTGGCATGAACGATTGGTGAAGGATGCAATGGTATGCAGTACGTACCTTAAATTTCATCCGGAATTGCATTCCGTAAGTTGTTTTCTCTTGCAGAAAAGAAAAATGTTTCCTTATAAAAGCTAATAAGTTTAATTTTATAGATATATTAACATTACAGACAGAAAAGAATATAAGGGTGAGAATCCAATAAAATTAGTTCAATTTATAATGAATTATGGAAGTTTCACTATTTCTACTTCTTATTTCCCACCCGTTTTCATTTCAGATAACTTTCGGTCAAAATCGGATGGAACTAATCATGACTACACCGATGCATTCGCTTTTCAGCATTTGGCAAGAAATTAATACGGCAGTACAGACCAGTATTGAACAACGTTCAGTACTTTTGTGTCCAATGACCCCACGTCAGTTCGATGTGAAACCAATAAGTGTGAATATTGGCGCCTCTCGTCAGGTTTCTTCTTTTACTGTTATTTTTGTTCTTCTCACTAATTTCTTTTTTAAACTTTTAAATTGTCGTTAAGTGCACTTAAGAGATTTAAAAGATGTGAATAATATTGTGAGGTTATTACTAAGGGATCATCGTCAACTCAACGAAAGGATTTATGTGAACTCTGTGAAGAGTGGCATGCAGCACCAGTGACCACTCATATGCGTATGGCACATCCTGGATGTAGCAAATATTCCGGTGGTCAAGGATATAACAGTTCTGGCAAATATACAAGTGGTTGGTCAGGAAATTGTGGTGATGGTGGACGACCAACTGCTGTTTGGTAGATTTAAGCGTTTATTTAACTGATTTCTCTGTTTCAAAATCATTTAGAATTTCCCTTTAGATTTTAGAAAATTATTAATGTTTTAGGTATTTGATGTGTGCTACATGCCGATCAAAATATTTGTTGCAGACTCCATCTGGACATCAACAGGTTATACATATATATATATATATATGTTTCCATCACTTTTTTAGTTTCAAAAATTGTAATTTATTGAAAAGTAAAGAATGAGAGTGAAATATTTTTCACTGCTCGAATCTTCAATACTTCGATATCACAGCATACCAAACACAAATTCGTTATAATTTTTGAGTGCTAACTTTTTTCAGATATAAAGAAGTATTTGTTTTAGGAGCGAACTCGTCGATGGCGTGAATTTTGCGCCTCCTCAGCTGTCGCAGAAATGTCTCCAGAAGCAATAATCAAGCAAAATGCAATGTTTCTTATGGAGTTAAATGCATCTTTGGATGATGATAGCAAGGATACGTCAAGAGCGACATCTGGCTGGACAATAAATCTTTTCCCACAATCATCCATGGTGACACCACCTGTCACTTCAACATGTATACAAACGGATGTTGGAATAGCATCACAACCAGTAACTTTGTCAATGATTTCTTTTTTTTGTACTGATTACAAAAACTGAGAACATTGCTTTTCTGTTTTGATTTAACATTTGCTAATAAGAATCCTAAAATAGCAGTGAAACTTGCTGTGCATTCAATCAGTCCTGAAATTAAACCTAGAAACTAATATTGCACTTTTGACCAATTATCATAGTAATTAATTGGTCAAATGTTTGAATATGACCAAAACAGTTCTCATTACTGAGATTTTGGTTTATAATCTTGAAATATTGATGTTTAGACAACAAAATTATCAGTTTCCTGCATAAAATTGAAAATTAATGTACTTGATAATTCACATGACTGGATAAGAATTCGTATCCTTAATTTTTCAGTCCATAAATTTAATATTTCGTCTTGATCATTATATTTTACTAATAACGGATGACTTACAGCAATTATCAAATGGAGGTGAAAATGGTTGTCATCTACGAAAATTATCATATGCCAGTGACCCAGGACCAAAGCACAGTTGTGTTACTACTCATTCCGCTCTTTCAAACTACAATCCATTGTATTCGACGAGACGGGTGAGTTGTAGCCGAAAAGTCATTAATTTTCATTAGGATCAAAAACACAAGCCAGGATTTACTTGTGTGTTAGGTATGGAAAGATACTTATGAAGGAGTTTATATGGATGAAATTTAGCTATTCGCATGTTTTATTTTTGGAATTAAATTTTGAGAAATCTAATTATTATAATATAATTTTAGCTTGGTTCTTCACCGCTAACAAATGCTTCCAACCAAAATGGAATGGTTAATTCGATACGTCGGAAAATGTTAGAAGGATACGAAAGGCGGCAGTCAGCTGAAGTAATTTTTTATTATAATACAATTTTTAAAATTTTGCTTAATGCTTTGAGTTTTTATTATTTTTTTTTTGAAATTCTTAAGGACATACATAAATTTCAAACTTTTTTTGCAGATTGTTCAAAGTCCATCTGTAGCATTGAAATCACTGTTGGTTGAACAGAACAATATATCTGGTAGCGTTAACTTTTCCAGTGTTTCCAATTTAGTATTATTAATAATCTATTACTCTTTGGATTTGTTGTAATGGAATAAGACTGTTTATTATGTTTTAGTTATTATACATCTCAAATAATAAATAATTGTTCGTATTACAACTTATATGTTGTGTAGTTATCAGTGTGTAGTGTTAATCAGTGTTGTTATCAGTGTTAGCAGAAAATGAAATAGTGATGAAGGAGTAGTGGAATTGATGAAGAAAAGTTAGTGAATGATTTTATTGGCAAATCTTGAATAATAAATGTTTCATTTTTGCTTTCCAAATATATTATATTTAAGCAAATGTAAACGTATCACTTCGTCGGCCAGTACTTACTTTTGTAATGGAACGGCATAACTTGGCTCGTATACGGGAAGCAATGGCAACTGCTGTGGCTCGTGCTACATTTTTTGCACATTCATTCCGTGTTTGGAATTGGCTCTTGAAGATGGTTTCAACTGAATCTAGGTTAGTTTCGGAATCTTGAAGTTATAGTTTTTCTAAATTTTTAGTTTCTTGAAGTATTTAAAAGCTAAATAATTAGATTGTTTCGGATTTTTATGAATTAGATGAATTAAGAATAGAGCAGAACAAAAAAAGAAACTTAAACTGTGCTATATACTTCTTTCATTAGAATATATCAGAATCTTCGGCCTGAATAAAATTTTACAAATACTTATAATATTTATAGCATTCTGGAACTATATTCGAAGAATCCTGACAGATTATTACAATTTACTTGTAAATATAACGATTCATATTTATCATATCTCATATTTTCCAGTGTGGCAGATATTCTTTGGCAATATTTGACAGCATTGAACTCATACGTACCGTTATGTCGATGGCGTAAAAATCATTTACGTTTAGCAACAAACTTACGTCTCTTACCACATCCGTGGCGTGTTTGCTATTTAGCTGGTCCAGTTGCTAATAAAATGGTTCAACAACTACATTCTTTCTTGCATACGGTTGCCGTTATCGTACAATCAAATGGTGTTAATACAAACTTACGCTGCTTATGTTTCCGGGTGTGGACCTTTCAGTTAACGGTTCATGAACAGGTTTATCTGCCTTTAAAAATTTTACTGAAATGTTTGGACTGTGCAATTTATCACTAACTTTGAGATTTCTTATTGCTAATCTTCTGTTAATATGCTGTAAATTTAAAAAGATGCTTTCATCATTGATAACATTTCACTTTCTTTTGATGTTTTTGATAAGTGAATGTGACATCGTTTAACATCACACAACACTATAGTTTATGCATATTTATATATAATTCTTTGTGAAAGGTGCTAAGTTGTAGGATTTGCTTTCTCTTATATGCGATGTATTAGCAAGTGTCGGTAATGTGTTGGCTGATTCATCTGAAGATCATTCGTGGAATCTGGACGATGGCGAACGGAAGACAGATTATCGTTCACTTCAAGAGCAAAAATTATTGTTGTCTAGAAAGCGTAAGATTCGATGTTTGTGTTAAAATCTGAATTTTTGGAAATTTTTAGATTTGAAATTCAGTCTTCTGACTCAGTGTGTTATCATGCAGGATTTTTTTTTCCTTTTCAATCTACAACTTGTTGATGGATACAGAAAAATTTTTAAAGTGTATAAATTTTGATGTTTCAGTTTTTTTAGAAATTACTGATATTTAAGTTCTTCAGGAATACATTTTAAAATAGTCACAAACTGCTAATTGTTTTTTAGTGCAGGCAGATGTGAAGCAAATGGAAGACATTACTGGTATTTTGAGTTATGAGGCATCAAGTCGTCAAGCAATGATTGCATGTTTAACGGATGGGAATAGTGAAACTTTCTGGGAAACTGGTGAAGAGGTCCAAATTCAAATGAAATTCCAAAAAAAAAAAAACATATCTTTGTTCGGCTTTTTAAAAAGTTTTTGCGGGAATATTCAGAATTGCTGCTATTTTGAATTCATCAAAATGCTTCTACTTGTTGGTTTTTTCACTAAATTTCATCTTTTCGATGAAGTTGAGGTTTTCCAAAAATATTTCCACTTACATTCATATCAGTTAGATTTCGATGAAATTTAAATTTGCATTTTTGTCAGTTTCAGGATAAAAATCGACCACGCTACGTGACAGTACACTGTGATATCCGAAGCTATAAGGCAACGCTACTCACTGTTTACGTCGATAATATTCGTGATGAGGGTTATCGAACGTGTTCTGTTACTGTTGTTACTGCGGAAAGTGATGGAAGACGTCGAAAGATTCATTCCGAGTGTCTCGATCACGTATGTTGGTTTATGCTTATGCATTTTAGTAATTTATGAAATTGGTATTTTATAGTGGAATTTTTCCCAAAGCAAATGCTATCTTTTTTGATAATTAATAGTTTCAAAAGGAAATGAATCATTCACATTGACTACTTCAAAAGTATGTTCGAATTTGCTATTTTTTTGTTTGTGAATTTTTTTCGCATTTTCATTCTGATTAATGAAACGTAATGAGAATCATTTTAAAGCAATTTATTGGCTGGATAAAATGCTGCATTTTTGGACTGAGCAGTATTCAAGTGATATTTCGTGGTAATGATCCCTCCTTACGTATACGTCAGGTTAGTAATAAAAACGCACTAATATCATTATAAATACTTGTAGATTTCAGTCATCGAACAAGGATGTCATTACATAATGCAAGAAGAAATTACATATATCATTATAATGCGAGAAGAAAGAAAAGAAATTGCATTAAAATTTCAGCTTCGAGTTTTTGGTACTGCATTGGATGTGCTTAGTACTCAGTCCTTTACTAATCGAAGTTTTCTGAAGCCTTCACCATCACATCAGCTATTGTTTAATGCTAATCAGGATGATGCATTTGCAGTTTTCCAAGCTATTGCTGCTCAAGTTAGCATAAATTTCCAACTAATTTAGAGGAAAAAACTGTGTACACTGAATAGTGTCATATCTTCTTCAACTAATTTCCATGATTTAGGATTATGTCCTTTCGCCTTTTTTTTAGAACATTTGATTAAGATATTCCATTTCTGTTATTTTGAAGAGATTATGTTTATTTTCAGGCATTTAGTGACGAATTTTCACAGGAAGAAAATGGCACATTACGACAGCAAGTACTTGATCTGCTATTTAGTCGTATACAATTACAACCACTTCAGACATTTGTTTGTTCTCATATGATCAGTGCTTTGGAAAGGTTTTTATTTTCATGATTTTTTTACAGAGTCATTAATGATAATCGCTTATTTTCTTTCAAAGTTTTCTTGAGAATTGCTTCTCTTTTTATTCTTTTCCGGTTTTGATGGTAAAAATATTTGGTAGTAGAAAATCTTTTATCACAGCCAACTTTTGAGAGAAAAGAGGATATCAAGAGGTACAACCTGACATTCTATATAAAATCATCAGTTGTATAGACATAGCAGTTATTCGAGATATTCATTCGAAACTTGAATTTTCTCATTTTCTCGACATCAAAATTCAAGTAAGCTTTTTTTGTGTGCCTTTATTTTTGAAAGCTTCAGGGAAGTATCGTCACTGCGTGAGAAAGCAAAGCGCAATTATTCGTACGTTTGCGGTTTGATGGAAATGTTACTGAAGATTTGCAGTTCACGTCAAGGCCTGGAAGTATTTGGTGTCAAAAATAGGATTCTCATTATCCTTTCTGAGCTTTTGTTATTTGCTCCTCAGGCAAATCTTATTTTCGCTTTCTTTTCCTTTGATTAATTGTTTATTTCGCTTAATCAATTATTGTAGATATATCTCAATCTCTTATTTTCAATATATCCATGATCTTCAGTGTTTCTATTGTTTATTAATGACTGATAAGTGAAACCTTGCTCTATATTTAAAGCGTTAAATTGTATTTCCCATCCTTGCACTGTTTAATTTTTGCATTTTCAGGTAGTACAATGTCCATTTTCAGGTAGTACAATGTCCATTTTCAGGTAGTGCAATGTCAAGTATTGGAGACAATTGAGTGCCTCTCCAAGTTATTCACACCATCCGCAGTCGACTGCGTGAATTTTACACGGAATTTATTAATATTAATAACAAAAGTGATAACACTGCAGATACGTGATAAAATGACACGGTCACTAACTTCGGCTTGTTTAGCTGTTAGTTTTATCATGTTCCTCTTTCTTTTAAATAATGTAACCAAAACATTTTTTCTATCAATATATTTATCAATGGAACTGTTCTATGGATGATATAGCGACATTTTTCCTGCCAAATTACTAGAATGTGAAATACTGGTTCTAATACCGTAGTTTTGATTTGAAAAAAATACTCTCTTGAAAATTTGTAGACTCATGTGACAAGTGCACCGATGTACTGGCGAATAGATCGAGCAGTTAGCACTGATATTGCTTATCTTGCAAAACAACTATTGAAAAATTTGAGGTAATTAAATGTAAAATATCATTCGAAGGCAAATAACAATTTGCTGTAGGCCTGAATTCAATTAAAATGCTAAGAATTCCTTGCCTGCTTTGTAATAATGTCCTGTCCAGATACAAATGCACACTGTACTAATTGAGAGGAAGCAGAAAGATTTCATTTAGAATTTTATTTTTGATAAAATTATTTACTATTTACATTCATGGCAGGCTGCTTTCAATATTAATAATTAGTAAAAGCGTTCATTGGATTATGGTTTATTATTTGATAGATGAGAATATTTTTACAGTGAAGGACTGCTAAATGAATACTGGACAGTTCCTGTGCGTACAGAAATTGCAAATGAAATTATGAATTTAACCTCTTTGAATATCACTCATTCATACGACAGCGATAATTCCGGAAAAATAGCAACAGATGGAAAAGACGAAAGTGCGTCAGGGCAGGCAAATAGTTCGGATTTTTCCGGATTCATTAATACTGATAATTCTCGATCAAAGATGCTAAAGAATGGAAAATTTTGGCTTGCCGTAGCTGCATTATCTTTGTTGAAAGAGAGCCAATGGTTAGAATTGTCATCAGTATGGCAAAGTCTACAGGTTAGCTTTTCATTTATAGTTATAATTAAGATTGCAAGGATGAGCAATAATGCACAACTTGCTATATTTTCGAAAAGAAAATTAGAAATTTGTTTTAAAATCAATGGACAAAAGATATTGGTCAGTCCAATTACTTTTTAGTTTGATAAAAATTCATCAGAAGCAGAATTCTTATAATTTAATGAATTCACCAAAATGGGAATTATCTGATTATTTAGTGCAAACTGCATTGGATCTTGAATATATATGGGTAATCTGATAAAAGATAGAAAATTTTTTTTTTTTTTTAGTTACAACCAATTATAGTTGTTTGTGTTTTAGGCTTTCTCTTCAGTTTATGTTTTCAAAATTATTGCAAGAAGATTTTTTAAGAATAACAAAGAAAGTTTGACGAGAATGTTGTGTGATAATCACGATGATGGTCGAACTTTAGCTAATGTGTACTGTGAAACTTGTCAATGTTCGTTATGTCGAGAATGCTTCTCTGTGCTTCATTTAAATAAACGAAATCGGTCAGTGAATTAATCATTCAGAAATCTCTTTTTATTTTATGTTCTCTTCCTGTTGATTTTTATTTCTTTTTTCTCATATGCTAAAATTTTAGTAGTCATGCTGTGCAACATCTTGGTGACACAAATGATCGTCCACAAGTTGAAGTACATGAAGGTTCCACTCGATTACGTTTACCACATGTTTTGGTACAACTTTCTATTTTATCTTGTTTGTATTGAATCTTTTTTGAAAAGATATAATTAATTATTTTTAAATCACATGTATTCACAAATTCATGTCACAAAAATAAAACTGTACTATAATTCTTGATAAGTTCTTATCCTTTTTTCTGTTAAAGTGCCCTTTTAAATGTATATTTTTGATAAAATTCTTTCCAACTTTATTTCTGAATCAAATCAAAATACATATTTGATTCTATAGTGGAAAAATTTGTCTACAATATCTCCAGGAATATCTTTCCTAGTTTATTGATTAAAAGAGTTGATTAAACTTATGCATGATTAAACTAATAAACATAGTTTGTAAATTTATAGATACTGTTTAATCCAACTACTCTGAACGGAATGGTAGAATTCAATCAAAGCATTATCCGTGAAAATATACCTTCCGTGCCTTATCATCGAATTTCTGGTAAGTATTTTTCCATTTTCTTTTGTTTTTTTTTTCTTTTTTTTGCAGAATTTTATCATCAAATTAGATGATAATTTCCATAGCACTTTATCTATATTATTTGAAGTGGAAGTGGCCATTTTTATCTAATCAAATATATGTTTATAAATCAGAAGTTCCTCAAACCAGATTACTTATTTTTCGCCATTCTAAAGTTTAAAAACTTTTTCTTATTCTCGAATACATATCACAGAAGCATTAAATATTCCAGATTTTAGTCCTATTATATGTGGTTAAACTTCGCATGGATTTTTAAATTAAATAAATTTTGGTGAAATAAAAACCTGGTATTATTAAATTTTATTTTAGAAATGTCAAATCTTGCTGAAACACGTGATAACTCTACTTGCCGTTTCTGTAATGCTCCATTGTGTCCAGATCAGGTTTTTTCTACACTAATCAAATTTTCATGACAGTTTCTGTATGTCTATTAAACAATCCAGGGCAGGCAGAATTTTTGAACTAAGCTAATTGAAGTTTTCGGTTTTCAAAGTGCTTTTGATCTTATTGCTACTTTCTTAGGTGTTCAATTGAAAATTTCATTTCTCCAATTCTGCAGATGACAAATGCTGAGAAGGGGTAGAGAAAGAGAACTTTTACTAATTATTAGTTATCAGAACTGATGATAATCTCTCTGGCAAGTTGCGCTGAGAGATTTCTTCCTTCTGCGCAATTAGAAACTTTCCTTCAAAATTTAATAATGCCTTTCACAGATCGATGGTTTGTGTAATCACGAAGAGTGTCGTCACTTTGCAACGTTTGCTTGTCAACAGCAACTTCCATGTGGTCATATCTGTGGTGGTATCCGTGATGAAGAAGTATGCTTGCCGTGTATTCAATGCAGGAAGCCAGGTAGAAGTAGTAGTAGACGTGAAGTAAACGTTTTTATTTGTTTAAAATTGAGCCAAGCTCTACTCATTGCTATCGTAATGTGCTTCTAGTCTTTAATAACAGATACTTAAAAGGAAAACATTGGCATTGGTAAAACTTAGAACAAAACATTTTGCTATTCGGTACGAATGAGTAATTTCCATCTCTTTTACAACTACATTTTGAGATACAAAACAAGACGCAGATGATTTATGCGTGATATGTTTCACGGATCGTTTGGGTGGTGCACCGTGTATTCAGCTAGCTTGTCATCATATCTTTCATTATCGCTGTGTACGAACCGTACTCGAGAAACGTTGGAATGGTCCAAGGATTGTCTTCCGCTTTATGCAGTGCCCATTATGCAAGGAACAAGTTAGTTCTATCTTTGCAATCTGATCTTTTTATTTGCATTCTAGATGAGATCAACTCGTCATAGCACTTGTAGAAATCTATAAATTATAATATATATATATATTTTTTTTTCATGCCAAATCACATATATTTTATGGTCATCGGTTTCGGGAAAGATGACTTTTAAAGTGGTAGTTTCCCTTCATAATTTTTTTTTTTTTCGAGTTTGTGATTTGATTGGGAGTTTAGCCAAGATATCCTATGCAAAATGGCAATGTTAATTTAGATAATTAGTATCATTTCTCGTATAGTATCCTTCAGCTGTAATTTTTTTCAATTTCCAGATTGATCATCCATCGGTAGCAGATTTGTTGCTCCCACTGAAAGATTTGTATAATGAAGTATTGAGTAAGGCACGTTTGAGACTCGAATATGATGGCTTTTTGCAGTCTCCTGCGACTATCTCTGAGAGCAGGTCATTTCCTTTTGTTTCCACTTTAGACTTCTCATCGCTTACTGAACAATCATTGGGTCACTATAGCTCAGTCGCTGTAACCTACCTAGTTTTTTTTTTATCTTTGAAGACTCGGGAATTCTTCACATCGCTTTATAATTCCTCTTTCAGTACGGTCGTTAGGTCTGAATTACTTAAATGTATAAAGTTAATGTATAAAGTTGTAAAGTTAAATACATTTTCTAGTTTGGAGAAATATCCATCGGCGACAGTTAATAATTTATTAAAGAAATACGCTTTTTTAGTGAGCTTCACATGAATCTGGATGAATATGCAATGGAGCGGTACATGTATGTTCTATGTTTTAAGTGTGGGAAGGCCTATTTTGGTGGCGAAAGTCGTTGTCAACAGGTTAGTTTCGTTGATGAGTTAAATTTAATCTAAAATTTTAACATTTGAGATAAATTTGCTATTATTATATTTCATTTCATTCACTCACACAAGCTTGTTTCAAAAATTTGCTTTTACAGTTAAACAGAGTTTAGAAAAAAAAAAAACAAATATTTCAGGAACTGGATAATTCACAGTATAATCCTGAGGAATTGATCTGTGGTGGTTGTTCAGATGTGGTAGGTGCTCAGGTCTGTGGACGTCATGGAATAGACTTCCTCGAATTTAAGTGTCGTTTTTGTTGCTCAGTTGCTGTTTATTTTTGGTTAGTTATTACGAGTTAGCTTTTCTTGAAATCAAATTTACACATTGCTTAAGTTTAATTAAATACTGAATTGTTAAAACTGAACATTAAAAAGTTTAACATTTTTGCTAATCGCTTTATCTAGTTATTTGATTTGTATTATAGCTTTGGTACCACACATTTTTGTACATCATGTCATGATGATTTCCAACGATTGGTATGTTTGCCGAAAAAACTTTTACCGAAATGTCCAGTTGGTCCGAAATGTGTACAACTAGATGGAAGTGAATGTCCTTTAAGGGTAAAACACCCACCAACAGGTGAAGAATTTCCGCTTGGTTGCGGCATATGCCGAAATATCAATACGTTTTGAACAATCAACAATTTTCCGGGTTCCATTTGCATTTGCATGGCCAGATTTTTTATCTGCATTTAAGTTATTGTTTAGCATTTCTTGATTTACTGCTGTTGGCTTTACTTATATTAATCAAGAAATAATGAGAAATTGCGCTACTGTATGGATAATAACGAAAATAATGAGATTAACATTTTAATAAGTAAATACTGATGGAAGGTAATTTCTAGGTCAGTCATCTCAGATCATATAGTATTATTAGTTGGGAGAAGGTTGAATCATAATGTACGCAAACTATTTTTCTGTTGCTGTTGTGGAGGAGTTACAGTGGTAGGCAAATTGCTGAAGAAAGGAGTTTAATATTATTGTAAACAAATATGATTATATCTCGATTACTTGGTGGTTTTTTTTTTGGCTTATCGGTTTAGAAGTTTTTTGCAGTAAAATATGTAAATATTTCAAATTGGTGTTATCATTTCTTTTGTCTATGTAATAAGAGATTCGCAGTTTCATCAATATTCGACTAAGTTTTGTGTCAGAAAACGAAACTTTTTAACTAACTTTGAAATACATCTAAAAATTAAAAGCAAAAGTCGTAATAAAGTTTATGAGTTATAAGTAAGGATTGTCGTTAATATAAAAATCAGGATTATGGTGATTGTCACAGATCTTTATCGATAAATTTGATTTACTTAATCTTTTTTTAGATTTTTTTGTGTAGAGTAGGAAAGAAGAATTGTTGAGAACCGCTCATTTAAAAAAAAATTAAGGAATTTCACATCTAAGTTTGATCTCCTTTGTTATTCCGATTAAATCTTATCTTCTTCATTTGGCTGTATTAGATTGTTTATTATTATTATTATTATTTATTCTTTGTTTTTTGCACTTGTTGATTTCTTCATTATTTATCTAGATTTATGCTTTAGGTTCAGCTTTCAATTGCTAATAAAATTTCTCATGGATGTTCTTTCTTGTTTTTTGTTTTTGTTTTATTGTCGATTTCTTTTATTTTTTTTATCTTATCAGTGTAATCTTGTTTTTCTTATTCTTGAGAAAAGTGAGAAAAGAAATCAAAAGAAAACTTTGCCCCACAAATAAGTGTTGTCTCTAATTACTTCAAATAACTTATTGAGTAATTAGAAATAAATTATAAAGAAAGAAGATAATCTATACTGCAAAACCACCACTATACCAATTAATCATTGTCACAGATTTGCTACATAGCCTTTTGTGCTTTATATTTAGAAGCATTGAGCTGAATGAATTTCAAGCAAATAAAAGAAAAAACTTTTAGCCAACAATGTTGTTTAACTGTATCAGTGCGAGTATTATAAAATGTAGAACAGAATTTCAGTTTTGTTATAATTCTTTTCCAAGTACCACAAATACATCTAAATGCAGTATGGCACTTGAGGATGACAAGTTGTTTCAGATTATTGATAGCATCATTAGCAATAAGTTAAAGTCAATAATTAGTTGACACAAATAGGCTAGTTAACCATGCTCATATACCATCACGAAATTACGTTTGTACGAGATTCGGTGTCCTGATCATGTCAACTGTCAACGTACTTCATCATACACTCTGGTTGAAACCCAAAATGGTATAATTTATCAAACTGACCATTATCAGTAAGGAATAGCTAAATTCTCTTTATCATCTGTCATCTTAATTGAGGACATTATATGAACACTTTTTCAGAATTAATCTGAAAACTTATAATGCTGATTCATTCAAAATATCGAAGTGATAATTAAATTAGTAAAAATATGAAAGTCTCATTAAATTGTCTAACTAATATTATCGCTATCCACGCTATCCAATTACTATTTCTAATCATTTTTCTCTTAAAAAAGGAAACGGATGCATTTTTTAGCACAGTCCGTTTTAATTCTGTTTTAGAAATTCGAATGTTAGTGTTTAATCTCGTCTTTTTCCACTTTATTTTCATTTTTTTTAAATTAATTAACCGTCAAAGAAATCTATGCGATATGATATGGCGTACGTGAACTTGCACGTGTTTTGTTTAAAAGACGATTGTAAAAACTGGAAAGTTTAGTAAGAGCAAAATGTGATACGTTATGAAATGCTTTTTGTTTTTTTTTTTGTTTATGTGAAATTTATTGTCCGTAAAATTTTCTCATTTCAAAGAAATGAAATAAGTTTTTTTGATGCCTTATCTTGAAATATTGAATTCTTATTTTAGTTGCGTCACTTACTTATGTTCTTAGGCTTAGGCTTAGGAATATTTTTCATTTTTTAATAAAAGATTGCATGAAATTCTTTTTTTCCTGGTTGTTTCAAAGAGGGCTCATATTGTAAGTTAACATATCAGATGACATCTTAAAACTTCATGAAAATTTTTTATGTATTAGAAATGAAGAAAGTTGGAAACAGCGACAACTTTTTTCAAATTTGAAAATAAGTAATTGCAATAAATGGAGTAATTCCAACCGATCAATAATTTAGTCTGCTTGTAATAAAGATTTTTCCTTTAATTTATTCTGCAAAGTTATCTCAAACTTTGTCGGCACTACAAAGAAGATCAAAAATAAATAATTAAGAAACATATTTTAAAAAGAATTAAAACTTATTTGTTATTGAGTATCTGCAAGTACTATTTATTAAATTAATTTCATTTTATTATATCAAGTTCACTATTCATGATTACAATTTTATATGTTTACTTCCAACATCTTTGCATATTTAGGTTTGAATTGATCGTTGATAACTTCATCAACAATGCTGAAATCAATGGATCTCTCCACTTGTAAATTTTAATTTCAGTAATGCAAGTTTTACTTTATTGCATGGATATTCAAAGATAGATTCTACTACGAAGTGAAATTAAGAAATGATTAGACTAAACAAATAAATAAAAATTTGAAGTTGAAAAGGAAAGAAATATCGATTGAGCTATGCTAATAAAGTTGCAACAATATGAAAATGAATGATGGAACGAAGTATTATAATGTATGCATCATAACATCAAATAAATGTAAATTAATTGTAATATTGTTACAATGATTACAATATTAGTTTTAAGTTGATTAAATTGATTATAGTATGGTAATATAGATACATATAAAAATAATTTTTATATTATGATTTTCTCTTAATGATAATTTTTATTTTCGTGCAAATAAATATTAATTAAATAAATGTAAAAGTGAATGAACAAAAAATCTTCCAACAAAAATGATCGTTTTTCTAATGAGTTCTCGTATAAATAAACAAATAACATAATCTTTGGTTGAGATGCAAATGAAATTATAATTGCTTTTCTGTTCAAATAAAAACTATCATACACTTATCGTTACTTCATTTCTAAACAGTCAAATAATTACTCATATTTCTCATTAAATATGTTACTTCCTTCTCACTTTGCGTTTTTAGCAATTAAACTGAAAGTTTTTTAAAAAAAATATTATAATGTATATATCATAAAATGAAATATAAGTTAATTATAAAATAGAGACTAGTCTTAACTTAGTTATAATATCATTACAGTCATTATAATCAATACAAATTAATTACAATAATTATAATAACAAGTAGAAGTTAATATAAGTCACTTAAATATTATAAAAAGGTTGGTAATATGCTAACTTAACGATTTTAATAGTTTTGCTCTGAGAGGAATACTTATTACCATCCTCTCAGTACTGGCAGTGATTCATGTCAACGGCAATACAGTAGTGTCGTAAGCTTTCTATTAAACCACCTTGCCATGTTAGCTTAGGTAAGTTCACTGATTATCAATGAGACAACTTATCAGTCAGATTTTCCTACCAATCCAACTGCAGGTAATCGTTAAGTTTCCTCAATATTTATTGTCATACTGCTTCGTACTAAATAATATTACAACAAATTCTATTGCAAATTGTAACTTCGATTCATCTGCCCAATTTGATATTTAATTCTAGAAGCGTTGACAAATGATATTCATTAGATAAGAAATTAATTAACCAAACCAAAAGATTACAGATTTGCTTATCCTATTTCCAACTTTTTAATCAATCAAAAGTAAATTAGCGATGTATTTTAAATTTTTAATATATGCATCACAAATTTCTACCAAAATTTATTTTTGTTTCCTCTTTTTTCAGCTATTTTTGTTGAGCATTTCAATTCATTACAAATGTCTGTGAAAAGCATTGATAATATAATCTCCTTTAATCATCATTCAGGATGGAATACAATTCAAGCATGCAAGCTTATCATTCCATTATCAGTGATAATCGCTTACTCATTTTACATTGGAAAAATCTATATTTGTCTTTACTAAAATCCATACTTTCTAATCACAAACAAAACAAAAACTTCTTACTTCCATGAGAACTTATCAGCAATATACCTATGATCGAACTTTGAAATTTCTGTTGAAACTTAAATTATTTACCGTATGAGATGCACAACAATGAGTTGAATGAATTTATTCATTACCGAATTTGAATTCACTTTTTGAATATCAATGTAGAGATGCTGTAATGATGGCATAATTTACTCCAAAGAATTTGATGGAAAGATTTTTTTGATATTTCTAAAAGAATAAAATAATAGTACTTTTAATAATATTCCTGCAAAATAATATTATGTAAGTCAATGATGAATTTCTGCTTTCATCAATTAACTCAAATTAAGTAAAGTATCTTTTGCTGATCATCAAATCTAGTTCAATTCTCAAATAACAAAATTCATCTTTTGAAATTCAGATTCAGATCGAGTAATCATAATTGTTAAAAAGATCCGAGCAGAATTTTTCTTTCCGGGAAACAGAAAAATATGTAAAAGAATTTTGAGATGGAAATATTTTTTCACAAACAATTTAACAGCAATAACAAATACTAATTAACAATATTAATAATAATAATAATAATAATAATAATAATAATAATAATAATAATAATAATAATAATAATAATAATAATAATAGTGGTAGCAATGATACTAATGACTATTATTTATTATTATTACTGTTATTGTAATTGAGACAACAAAGCACAATGATAACAAT